AGTGTGATGTCATAGGCACAGATTTCCTGTCCTCTTTTTTGGAAATGGAAATATGATCACCCTATATTAAACAAACTGTCCACCCGGGCTTTTACGCTGCACAGAGACGCTCTGCTGCCTATGACTTTTATATATATTGCCTAGTACTATTATATATATTGTATATATACATATATATGTATACCCCATATATATATATATATATATATATATATATATATATATATATATATATATATATATATTATATATATTGTATATATATGTATACATATATATGTATATATATATATATATATATATATATATATATATATATATATATATATATATATATATGTATATATATATACATATATATGTATAAATATATATATATACATATATATATACATATATATATATAAAAATATATATGTATACATATATATTTATATATATATATTATATATATTGTATATATATATATTGTATATATATGTACATACATTTTATATTTTAGCACATATTGGCTCAAAAACATGATTAAAAAAACATGAAAAAGTTGCTAAATATTTATAATGATTCCAGATAAATGAGCTGTTGTAACTTTTGCTTTGTTTCAGAAAAGTCAGTGAGAATAAGACTACAGATGTTCAAATTTAACTCTGTAAATTTGTTTAATCTAAACAAATGCTGGATCTCTGAGTGTTAATAAAATAAAAACTCTTTTTTTGCCTTTTAAACAAAAACTAATTCCAAGAAGAACCCGTCTGGATCCTCGTTTCGGCTCCAGTTTATTTATTTCTTCATTCTCCAAGAGGGAGGAAACAAGGGATGGAAGCCTGGATGGATAAATGAGAAGAATCCTGATTAGATAAATCCCCGAGTGACAGGGAGCAGAAGAGAAGGTCTAAATGAAAGAGAAGGGATCACCAGGAGGGAATGTGTGGAGCGCCAGAGCTGTAGAGGGAGACGCAGAGGGGAGGAGGAGGAGGTGGAAGGATCAATATCTAATTTCAGTGCTGAGCTCAGGTTGGACGCTTTTCCAATAAGGCCAGAATGGAAGAGCAAAGTTTGAATAGGTGTGTGTCTCTGGCCGTCCTCACATCCATCTGCTGCAGGTCTGAAGCCTCTCCAGGACTCAGGCTGGTTCTGAAAGCTAGGACCGCTCCAGCTGATTTAGTCTGGACCACAGAGGGTTTAACTCACCAATCAGATTCAGGAGAAAAACACTCAAACCTGCAGGTTTGTTTTATCATGGAGCTGCAGCAAAGGGAGGTCCTCGCTAAGGATGTCCAGGATCATCCAGGAGCTTCTGACCAACAGGATTCCTCTGGAGCATTCAGGTGTGTGTCAACACGAGGAGGAAAAACACTAGCTTCCACTCCGATCCCAAATCAAGTCCAAGTTTTCCTAACAGATCAGTAGATCTCATGTTTTTATGTTTACCCTACAGGATGAGTGGTGGAAAGAATTAACCAAGGCCGGTTCACACGGCAGGATAACTATGACCATTTTTTACCTGACCCCCCCACCCCCTCACACACACACACACACACACACACACACACACACACCTCCAGTTACAGTTACAGCTGCAGTTACATTTCAAATGTTCCCAGGCCAGCTGGCTCAAGAATACCAATGGGCTCAAGCTCAAGTCACGTGACAGAAGGACAAGTCATGTGACTTGACCCCAAACAACTGTCAATGAGAATCCACTTGGAAAGGTCAAAGGTCATTTCCTAACTGTCTGGACTCCAACATAACATTTAGGTCAGTCGGAGAGGATGTCCCAGCAGGTCCGGCTCCATCTCAGACTCTACAGTTTAAAGGTCAAAGGTCAGTGTTAGCAGGAGAAAAGCTCTTTGAAAGAAAGACTTCTGTTTACCCATAGCAGCGGATCCCAGCTGTCAGCACGGTGGTGGAGGTTTGATGGTTTGGGTCGGTTCTGACCCAGCAGCACACTAATGGCTTCTGGAGTCAAATATGAGCCTTTCTGAGTAACGCTTGGACAGAACCGAGCCTCAGAGCAGAACCAGAACCTCCTGTTGTTCTAAACCCGTGAAACCCCACACACACACACACACACACAAACACACACACACACACATACACACACACACACACACACACACACACACACACACACACACACACACACAAAAACTGTCTCCACTTGCCCTCTGAGGCTGAAGCTGCTTAAATCAATCCTGCGTTAATAAAATGGACGGATGGTATTTAAACCACACAACCCCCACCCTATGGGTCTTACACAGTCCAGAGAACTCCTTCTCCTAAGCAGCTCCTGTTCCATCGGCCCGCTGCCCTGAACGTTTCGCCCTTAAGTTATAAAATAATGAGCAGTAAGATAAATAACAGTTTTTTTTCTTTCCAGAGGCCTCTCCGAGTTTATTCCCTCTAATTCCTGGCTCCTTCACCGGTCTTTAAGACCTTCAGATTCCCAAAGACGCTACAGAGGACACGGCCTGAGCATGTTCAGGAGCGACGGTGCCTCCTTACGGGTCTGAAGCAGAACTGAAACATGTCCTGTGAGTTTTAGCTCCATTATCAGCTCTTTATTATATCCGCTTAAACAAGAAATGCTGCTCGAAACATGAAGAAAAGCCCAAACCATAACACGTCCCCCACCGTGCCTCGCAGCAGTTTCAATTCAGCTGAGTTTGAGCTGGAAGAACAGGCTAGAAGAAGAGGTTTCCCATTGAAGGGACAGTCCAGCCCCTCTGTGTTTCTGTGTAAATTACATAAGTGCTGCAGAAAACTTCCTGAGGTCAGGACTGACGTGCTAACAGCTAGTCTGAGTGTGTTTCTGTCATCCTAACTCAGCTCTGATCCTCTTCCTTTCACAGAGTGACCTTTACACTGACGTTACTTTGACAATATTGATTATTTACCTGGAATTCTGTTGTTTACATGCATACAATAAACATCACCAACAGGAGCCTGATGGAGCTGGGGGTGCGAGCGAGTCCTTCAACCACGGAAAGGTCTCTGGGACAAGAACAGCTTTTATTGACATTTGTGAGTAAATCTACTGATGACTCTGATTACATAGAAATATGAAACGACCCTGAAGGAAGCGTTTTTGGGCTCATGAACCGGAAGGATCAGCTACTAGAGTGTTTCCTGCTGAATCGAGCCTCCAGAGTTGTGGAAACACCAGGAGAACGATTCAACCTCACGGATCGATAATCAGCCTGATCTGAAGAGTTGTCTCCAGCTGAGGAACATGGGCTGAAACAGGCATTAGATGTTTGTTCTCAGCTATAAATCACCTTAGTTCATGCATGGTTTCTTGTCTGCCTGAAGAACGCTGCTGATGCGTTTGATCCTCTCACTGAACTTCTTGGTCTCTCCTTCAGAGCAGGAAGAAGCTGATATCTAGCACCGAACCGTCAAGCTGAGCCGAATTCACTGTGAAGGATTATTTATAACTTTATTGTTTGTATTTTTGCACTGGAGCTCCTCTCACTAGTGGCGGCAGGACTTCATGCTACCTTCTGCTGCTTGATGCTGGGATGCTCAGGATTCTGGGACTGAGGGTCTGGATGTGATTAATGTCTGATGTTCGGAGTTTGATTCTCTCAGACAAAAACAAGACACGCAGGAACTAGGTGATTATTCTGGTGCAGAAACCTTTGTGGAAAGAAGATGTGGTGATAAATCAGCAGGATGAATACTTACACAAAAAACATGACAGAAAAAATCAGGAAACAAGATGAAAGTTCATAGCTCCACACTGCCCTCAAGTGGTTATTCGGTAGATCTGCACCTGTGAGCAGCGCTGTTCCTCAGTCGGAAGAGATCAGTGACGCTGCTCCAACAAGTCCAATTAACTAAAAACTGCTGCATTGTTGTTTTAACCCATTTTAATTGTATATTACATTTAAGCCACATGGTTACCATGGTTACACGGGTGGTGTTAATGAACCAGATGTTCAGAGCTCTGATTAAAATAATAAAACACAGGCTAAAAGGATGACCTAAAAATCTCTGAATACCTTAAAGAGCAAGTCACCCCCAAATCAACTATTTTTTTTCTGATAAACTATATAAATGCGTGTCTAATTGTCCTGCAGACACGTGTAGTCAATAGTTTTGCACTTTAGTGTATTTTAGTTAAAATTTTAATTTTCTGCCTGAAACTGTCAGTGTTGTGCCGTTGTCAGGTAAAAACTCTGCACTGCATTTGAATTTAAATCTGCCACCGCTATTGGCTAAGAGGTATGCTATGATGTAAACTGGTACATTATGATGTCACAATGTCGTGAGTGTGTGTATTTGTTAGTGGCTCCACCCTCTCGGTCTGCTAGGCAACAGCATTTGTTGCATTTTTCAAACATGAAGTGGGAGTGAAGTGCGCTTCTTGTAAGGGGTGACTTGCTCTTTAAAGAAAAGAATGAAATGGACGTAAAAACCAGCAGAGACATCACAGCCGTCGGCTGTCAAAAGCGTGTCTGAGGAATCAGCCAGGTCTAAATCCTAAAAGGGTCCAGAATCCAGTAGATGGAGGCCAGAATGAAATGACTTGACCGTTAGGCTTCCCAGCCACTGGAAAAGCTCAAAACTCACGTGAGGGTCTGGGAACACACTGGGATGGTCCAGGAGGGCCTGTTACCTCAAAGGAAGGATGGATGGATGGATGGATGGTGGATACGTTTGTCTTAATTAATGTGGGAACGTTCAATCTTCTAATCTGCCAAGCAGCTCAGAGAAAGAGTGAATATTGCCGGGACACCGCTGGTTGCTACCCACACGTCTTTCTCTGTTGTTCATTCCATGGAGGAAAATTCACGAGTTCTACCTGTGGAGGTAACTAACCATAGATATCATAATTATTAATATATGATATCTAACTAATCATATTTATTAGTCACAAGCATCGTTACAGCTGAGAAATAATCAACCAATAATAATAATAAACACCCAAACACGCATTCTGCTCTGTTTCTACTGGAATAATAATGTTAATTGTTTCCGGCAGGGGGCGCTGCTGCCACGTCTTCATGTTAAAACCAAATAAGGAAATGACGTCCTGCTCGAGTTCCTCAAATAGAAAAGTGAGTAAAAGCTGCCGACGAGGTCAGGATAAGTCCTGCAGACACACACCAGGTAGGTTAAATGGTTTATCATCACTTTAATAAAGTTGGGAGTCGGAGTCTTTGTTTACCCGCGGAGAGGGAAGCTAACGGGGGTTAACAGCTAATAGGTCTAAAACTCTGTAACGAACCAGAAGTACCTGCTATGCTCCTTTAGCTATCAGTAGTTAGACTTTGTTTGGTTCATAAGTTAGTATTTTATATTAGAAATGCGTTATCTTTATAAATATAGTTGTGTTTTGTTGTTAAACTGAGTTTAAAACAGCAAGCTGGGTCCGACATGCTGAGCTCGTGTTCTTCTCTAAAGCACTAAAGTGTTATTATTAGCTTTAATCTGACTACATCAACGAGTCATTTAAAACCGGCTCGAACAGGTGGTTCGGTTGGTGCTGCAGCTGAATCCTCTGACCTGGTCCCAGAATGAATTTATATATATATATATATATATATATATATATATATATATATATATATATATATATATAAAAATGCACATATATATATATATATATATATATATATATATATATATATAATATATGTGTGTGTGTGTGTGTGTGTGTGTACGCGTTTTAGCAGCACATTGATTGTGAAAGACAACTGAACACTAAATGTGTGCAATATAAATAATAAATATAAATAAGTCAATAAATCTCTTGATATTTATTGAACTTTAAATATAAAACAAACTCAAAGCTGTTAAAAAAACGTGTGTTGAGGTCCTCCGGGTCCTTTCTTCAGTCTAGTAGTGGTGGCAGTTGCCCATACACGTGCCTGATTAAAAATAAATAAAAAAAAATTTATCGGCTTTTTAAAATAATTTCAGTCGATGGCCGATAGACAAAATTTAGTATATTGGTCAGCCAGTGATGGTGATTCCTCTTGGCTTTGAACTGGATAATCCCTCTTTTCCATCTGACCTCTCCCTCATCTGAGTGGATTTCATAAACTCATAACTGTTACGTATGGCAGCTAATATTTCTTTTTGTGGACAGGGACAGGATGGGGGACATCGTGGAGGATGAGACCAGCTTTTACTCCAATGCTGAGGACTACTGGAAGGAGGTTCCTCCCACAGTGGACGGGATGCTGGGAGGTTACGGCAGCATTTCCAACATAGACATCAACGGGTCCAAGGCTTTCCTGAAGAAGTTCATCAGAGTAAGGCACTCAGCCTGAGTTTGGACAAGTAGTAGTAATGAAATAAAAAAATCACGTCCTGACTAGAGAATGCATGAGATAAGGATACATCACTAATTTAGCTTGATATGATTTTTCTCAGGACAAGAAATAATTACTGGTAATATTGTATGTGGTGTAAGTGTAATAAATACATTAAACAGCAGAGTCCCGGGAGATAACCGCGGCAAGCCCACAGGCCCGCCTGCAGCCTCCCTCCCCCAAGCTGGCCGAGCCCAGGACCCAGTGCCCCTGGACCCAGTGCAGGTGTCTTCTGGTCTACACCAGCTGATGCCACCACACAGTCCCACTCCACCCCCACACCCCTCTGTGTCTAAGTGCAGTTTAAAATTGGAAGTGGGCACCGGCACTCGGGGTGAGGCTGAAGGATCCCCCTGCCGAATGCCATTGAGTGTGCTCACTCCCAAGGCCCTAAGTGTGTGTTTGCGTCGGTGGAAGTGTTTAATGTGCAAATAAACTTGGGGGGCAGGTTGCCACAGAACTGTGGAAATGGGATCCATACCCGCACCCCCTAATTTCCCCACCCCTCAAGGTCCCATGTGCATGTTTGTGTGGTGATGTGAGGGAGCAGTAGGAGGAAAATGTTTGGGGATGGGGATGAATGGCTGGGGGGCCGTGAGCCCTCCAAGGAGCCAGCTCCCCCACCGACCCCAATAGGCACCTCCGTTCCCAAAATGCCACCCGGGGCATTGGGAGACCCCAGCCCATCTCGCCAGGGCCCCACGGAGCCCGAGGTCACTGACCCAGCCCCACCCCAGCAGAATATCTACTCCCATCCCTGAATTTGCACAACTTCCAGAATATTTAAGACATGAGACATCCAAGTAAGGCTGAACACGGAGCAGTCCCGGTAGGTGCTGGTTCTGCTGCGTGTGTTCACTTTCACTGTTGCTTTGGTCCACTCATTTGTTTATTCTGTCAGCAGTGTTGGAGACGTCTTCACGGTGGGTTAATCGCAGCGTCTCACACCGTGGTTAATAGTCAAACGGTTAATCCTTGCAGTCCTAACCGCAACCGCTTTAAAAAACTCGAGAATTTTGCCCACCGTCGTCAAATTACAATAGTGGGCGCTGCAGTATTGGCTCTCAGGAGACACGCCCCGCCCACACTGATGGTAACAGTCGTTACGTCCCTCCTGCCTTTGTTTTGAAAGGAGAAACTATGGCAACCCAGCAGCTGGATATGAAACATGTTTCAGTAGAACCTTCCCTTCACTATATTCTTACATACTGCACCTTTAACATGTAAACATGGTGTTTCTGACACGATCAAATAAACAAGTTAAGCCACATAAATGTGTTTATTTACACAGGAAATGATAAAAGGGGCTTTAGATTTGGGTTTTAAGCTTAATAACATTTATTTAGTTTTCAAACGCCGTCAGTTCAGCGTCGTTTCACATCATTCTGGAGTTAACATCCAGAAACAAAAACCCAACTCTACCAGTGACAGTAAGCCCCGCCCCCTGGTTCTAGCTGTGCTCTTGGACCCTGAGGTTCTGTAGTTGTGTTTTCCTACAGGAATAACGGTCTTCAGCACCGAGTCCGTAAATAAACGAACCAGTCGGTTGTTTTGGGATGCTGGACGTTGCTGGAGCTTTTCCCTGATTTGTGTCTCAGCCTTGTTCCCTGCTGGACTCTGTTCTGTCTTCCAAAGGAAGGCGAAGGGAAGACCGGGTCGGGCTGTGCTCTGGACTGCGGCGCCGGTATTGGTCGGATCACCAAACGGCTGCTGCTGCCTTTGTTCCAAACCGTGGACCTGGTGGACGTGACCAAGGAGTTCCTGGACAAGGCCAGGTCGTACCTGGGAGAGGACGGGAAGAGAGTGGAGAACTACTTCTGCTGTGGACTGCAGGACTTCGTCCCAGAGACGGGGCGGTATGATGTCATCTGGATCCAGTGGGTCATAGGTGAGTGTATCTAAGATCAGCATGTTCAGCGAGGTGTGCAGTTACGTCCAAATCTGACGTGTAAAAGCAGTCGCCTGGAAAAGGTGATGGTGGGATTGTGTCAGGTGGATGGAGGAAGTCGCGGTGTTCCTTTTAGTGTTTTCCTTCTGCAAAGTTGATGTTTTATCTCCACTATTAACACGAGCCTGGAGGAGTTCTGCTGTGTGGTGGAGTTGCTGATGCTAACAGTTAGCTCCTGCTAGCTGAGATGTCCTCTGCTGTTTCACTCTAAAATACTTATCTAGTTATTTTAGTTTATACTAGGGTTGGGACAAATCATTTGACCTTCGGCGATGGGCTGAGCCGTTACGTTTTTTTTTTACAGGAGGTGATTTGTTTGTTTGTTTGCCCGTGAGTTAGTTTGTTAATGACAAATATTTTACATTTTACACACAGAAAACATATCAGAGGTAACAATCAAGAAAGGATTTCCATCAGTGCATCTGAGCACTTTCTCACCTCCTCCGCCTCTCACTGCTGACAGTGGGCGTGCAAGCGGCGCGCTGAGGAGGAGCGTCTGACGCACTCGACGTCGTGCACAACAGCGCGGTGTTGAGTGGAAATCCTATCTTTCAGACTCTGGAGGACTTCTGGTTATTTCCTTTGGAGAAATGTTTCCTGATTTAAATCTTTGGCTGAAGTAGCGCTCGTGGTTATCTGGCTCCTGATTCGTTCATTCAATTCAGTTTATTTATAAAGCACCAAATCAGGACGAGTCGTCTCAAGGACCTTCACGCAGTAAACAACACAGGTCAGGTCATTAAGCCAATCAGTAACAAGTTTCATATATAAGGAACCCAGCAGGTTGCATTGAGTCACTGACTAGTGTCAGAGTGTTTACAGCAATCATACTAAGCATGCAGCGACAGTGGAGAGGAAAACTCCCTTTTAACAGGAAGAAACCTCCAGAGAACCCTGGCTCAGTATAAGCAGCCATCCACCACAACTCACTGGGGATGGAGAAGACGCAGACAGACCCGACCCGACCCCTGCTCAGTGGTCAACGTTCCTCGCGGGGTCACACCCATTAGGACAGTGGGAGGGTTAAATAAAATGCCACGGAAACCAAGAGGTTTCATTTTAACACTTTAATCCATCACAACAAAAATAAAATTCTACATTTCTCTTCCAGCAAACATGTGCTGCTCTTCCATTTAATAAAATCGGTGTTTTGGGCTTCTTCTGTGTCCGTGCATCATGACATCACATGCACAAATTAATCATCCATTTGGACTGACGATGGGTGGTGGGAAATGAGAATAGCCTCTCTCTGGGCTCAGGCCCTCCTCTGGCTGGAGATCGCTCCAACCACAACTCCAGTCTGAGTTCCTCTCCTGAACTGTCCTTCCTCCCTCAGGTCACCTGACAGACGATCACCTGGTGGATTTCCTGCGTCGATGTCAAAAGGGTCTGCGTCCCAACGGCCTCGTCATCATCAAAGACAACGTGTCGTATGAAGGAATTGTCCCGGACGAGGTGGACAGCAGCGTGTGTCGTGACCTGGAAATAGTCCGGCGCCTGGTGGGCAGAGCCGGTCTCAGAATCATCCACGAGGAGCAACAGATGAACTTCCCAAAGGAAATCTATCAAGTCCACATGTTGGCTCTAAGATAGAGGAGGTGTCCTTGTGTCCAGCGGTTTGTGATTCAGAACCTGGTGCTGCCCGAGTCAGTCGGTGCACCAGAATCGATGCACCGGTGAACTTTTCTTGAACACAAACGTTTTCACGGAGGCTGACTGTTGTTAAAGCAGAGCGTCTTGTCTGGTGACAAAAACCTCATCAGCTGATCTGGGGTCAGGAGAATCTCTGCTTCTTCCTAGACAAACTCACAGCGGTAACTGATGCTAGAAAACCTGCATCACCATGGTAACTGATGCTGGAAACCTGCATCACCATGGTAACTGATGCTGGAAACCTGCATAACCATGGTAACCGATGCTGGAAACCTTCATCACCATGGTAACCAATGCTGGAAACCTGCATAACCATGGTAACCAATGCTGGAAACCTGCATCACCATGGTAACCGATGCTGGAAACCTGCATAACCATGGTAACCGATGCTGGAAACCTGCATAACCATGGTAACCGATGCTGGAAACCTGCATCACCATGGTAACCGATGCTGGAAACCTGCATCACCATGGTAACCAATGCTGGAAACCTGCATCACCATGGTAACCGATGCTGGAAACCTGCATCACCATGGTAACCGATGCTGGAAACCTGCATCAATTCAATTCAATTCAAGTTTATTTATATAGCGCCAAATCACGACAAGAGTCGTCTCAAGGCACTTCACATAATAAACATTCCAATTCACAGTTCATTAAGCCAATCAGAAATAATGTTTCCTATATAAGGAACCCAGCAAATTGCATCAAGTCACTGACTAGTGTCAGTGACTTTACAGCAATCCTCATACTAAGCAAGCATGCAGCGACAGTGGAGAGGAAAACTCCCTTTTAACAGGAAGAATCCTGGCTCAGTATAAGAAGCCATCCTCCACGACTCACTGGGGATCGAGAAGACAGAACACACACACACACACACACACACTCACACACACACACAGTGTCTATAGTTACATTGTGATGTCTTAGTAAATATTGTATTTGGTGATCACCGTGGTAACATGCTGAAAACCTGCATCACCGTGGTAACGGATGCTGGGACCGTGCATCACCGTGGTAACATGCTGGAAACCTGCATCACCATGGTAACTGATGCTGGGAACCTGCATCACCGTGGTAACCGATTCTAGAAACCTGACCTGCTCTGACATAAGAAACAAGAACTTCTAAATCTAGTTTTTATTTGGTACAAAATAAAAATATCTAAAATCATGTCTGAAGAACAAACCTCCAAAGCATTTTAAATAAAATCCAACCATGAACAAACTGGCAGATTTTTACACTTCAGGTGTATTTCAGTTCTGATGCTGTCATGGTAAATTGCCTGTGTTATTAGTTTTGTAGCCCCCCAAGGTGCTTTATTCCACACCAGTCATTCACTCAATGTTGATGAGCTACATCGTCGCTACACCTGCCCTGGGACTCACTGACAGATGCCACTGGCCCCTCCCACCACCAGCAGGCCATTTAATTTGTTCCTTCTGTTTGGAAAATGTGTCCCATCTGTAGCAATTAATACATGTTAATTATGACCAATAAGATGATGATTTCATACAAATATGAAATATCAACCTGATTGGTCTTTGAATGTTTAAACAGAAGATTCTCGGGTTCTTTGCTTCTTCAGGGACCGTAAACACACTTGGTATTAATGCAGACTGAGTCAGTATGTAGTTTATGAAAGGAGTTTTATTTTTCCTAAACATGGAGTCTTCACTTGTTCAGAGTGAAGACTGGTGTCTAGCGTTCATGCAGAGAGTGTAGGACCTTCGGAGAGAATGTTTTGTCTTCATGAAACGTCAACACACGCTGAACGGAACCTTCTGGTTCTGGAAGGCCAAACAGGAAGTGCATTTATGCCGTAGATGAAAGGTGAAAACGTTGGATGTTACACGTCCATTGTGTGGTTGTCACCGCAGCACTGATCCAGAGTCAGACTGGAAACAGCTGTTTCACCTCCATGAGAAAGGAGCTGTTCCTGAAGGAAGCTGGGTTTACTGGTGAGTGATGGTCAGAAACCGCTGAGTCCATCATGAAACCAGTAACTCACTACGGTTCGAAGACCTCAACTAACTCCCAATCCAAGCACTTTTAAGCGGATTTCCATGTTTCCTGAATGATGTCACTCAGAGACAACCTTAATGGGCTTTTAGCTTATTCACTTCAGTTTTCAAACTTTATTAACAGATTTTTCAGGAATTCGGACCCTCATTACGATCCCGTCGGTTCCTCTGCAGGGATGGACACGGGAATCTCACCAGGATGGACCAGAACCTCCAAACCAAGACCCAACTCATCCATCAGCTCAGCCTGGATCAGGACCAGGTCTCCTGTTGCAGCCGGCCCATCTTCTCCATGACGGCCAGCATCTCCTCCGCTTCAGCAGCAGAAAGTCCTCCTTCCTGCTGCAGCACGTCCTTCAGGGCGTCGCTCACCGCGGCGGGCATCTGTTTAGAGTTCCTGCACAGAAAGGGAGCTTCAGCTGGTGTGCGTGCACGACACAAGAGCACGGTTACGTTTATGATGAAAGTCAGGGTGGTTGAAGGAAAACCCACAGGGTTCTGGACTCACCCGGCGATGTAGAAGCAGGCGTTCTTCTGAGCAACCAGGTTCCACAGCAGCGCGGCGTTCTCCTTCACTCGGTGCTGAACGTACACCTTCTCCTCCTGAACACACAGCCCCAGTCACACACTCCTAACGGGTCAGAACCCGTCTGGTTCCTGTGAGTGTAACCTGTTTCTGACCTGATCTCGAGAGAAGGCGGTAAAAAGGAGCAGATGTCCAGCCTCAGTCAGGTCCTCCCACTCTGAGCGGAAGTAGAAGTCTTTGGACTCGGACCGACAGCCGAAGAACAGAACATTGTCTGGAGAGCCAGGAGGAGGAACCGGTCAGGAGGAGCAGATGTGGATAACTCACCTAGAACATCAAACATCTCACCGGTTTTGCCCTCAGAAAACCTCTCCTGGATCGCCGACCTAAAGGGTGCCACTCCGGTTCCAGGTCCGACCAGGATCACCGGGATGCTGCTGTCTTTAGGGAACCGGAGAGTTCCCTTCTTCACCCAGAGGGGAACAGGAACCTGCCCTACAGGAGCATGTTTACAGGAGCTCAGAGACACCTCCTCACTAAAGATGGGAACAGCCTGCGCTCAGAGAAATGGAGTTTACAGGACTGATGTGCTAACGGCTAGTTCAGCAGCTACATCTAGAACTTCCTCTGATGGTTTGAATATTCTCCCTCTGGTTTCAGGCTGATCAAATAAAACTTAAGCCTAATTTATCCTGCAGGATGAAGACACGCAACGCCATTATGCGTCGACACAAGAGCCCTCTGTCTGGCTCGCAGAGCATGACGGGGAGCGCAAGCTTGTGATTGGTCAGGACGCAGCTTCCTGTAGATTCGTCTACAGCACTGTCTTCAAAAAGTAAAGAGAAGTTTAGCGGCAGACACGGGGCAGATTTCTAAAGTGTAACAATATGAACGTTTATTCACCCGTGAGTGAAGGAGTACAAAGACACGTAGAAAGCGTTTTATTTGTGGACGGAAAAAACGAGAAACGTGGCTTTAGGGGTGCCGATCGCATGGAGGTGGAAGGGGATGAGGCACAAATCTTCCTGAGATGAAAAGTCTCTGAAACACAAAAACAATGTAAACACACTATTGTGGACCGGGTACGTGACAGTAATGGTGGCTGGACACCTCAGGACAGCACTACGCCCTCTGCTGTCCTGGCGGGGAATTGTTTTGCACCAATCCCTGCTGAGTTAGAGTTTACAGGTGTGGACGACTGAGAAACCATGTTTAATGATTATGTCTGATTCTAACGGGTCACTCTGAGTTTAACATGCAGGCTGCACATGAAGATAGTCTCCTACACCTATCTCCAGCAGTAGCTTCTGATAGATAACAGTCTCCTACACCTATCTCCTGCAGTAGCTTCTGATAGATAATAGTCTCCTACACCTATCTCCAGCAGTAGCTTCTGATAGATAACAGTCTCCTACACCTATCTCCTGCAGTAGCTTCTGATAGATAATAGTCTCCTACACCTATCTCCAGCAGTAGCTTCTGACAGTCTCCTACACCTACCTCCTGCAGTAGCTTCTGATAGAAAATAGTCTCCTACACCTATCTCCTGCAGTAGCTTCTGATAGATAATAGTCTCCTACACCTATCTCCTGCAGTAGCTTCTGACAGTCTCCTACACCTACCTCCTGCAGTAGCTTCTGATAGAAAATAGTCTCCTACACCTATCTCCTGCAGTAGCTTCTGATAGATAATAGTCTCCTACACCTACCTCCTGCAGTAGCTTCTGACAGTCTCCTACACCTACCTCCTGCAGTAGCTTCTGACAGTCTCCTACACCTACCTCCTGCAGTAGCTTCTGATAGAAAATAGTCTCCTACACCTATCTCCTGCAGTAGCTTCTGATAAATAGTCTCCTACACCTACCTCCTGCAGTAGCTTCTGATAAATAGTCTCCTACACCTATCTCCAGCAGTAGCTTCTGATAAATAGTCTCCTACACCTATCTCCTGCAGTAGCTTCTTATAAGTCTCCTACACCTATCTCCTGCAGTAGCTTCTGATAAGTCTCCTACACCTATCTCCTGCAGTAGCTTCTGATAAATAGTCTCCTACACCTATCTCCTGCAGTAGCTTCTGATAAATAGTCTCCTACACCTACCTCCTGCAGTAGCTTCTGATAAATAGTCTCCTACACCTATCTCCAGCAGTAGCTTCTGATAAATAGTCTCCTACACCTATCTCCTGCAGTAGCTTCTGATAAGTCTCCTACACCTATCTCCTGCAGTAGCTTCTGATAAATAGTCTCCTACACCTATCTCCTGCAGTAGCTTCTGATAAGTCTCCTACACCTATCTCCTGCAGTAGCTTCTGATAGATAATAGTCTCCTACACCTATCTCCAGCAGTAGCTTCTGATAGAAAATAGTCTCCTACACCTATCTCCAGCAGTAGCTTCTGATAAGTCTCCTACACCTATCTCCTGCAGTAGCTTCTGATAGATAATAGTCTCCTACACCTATCTCCTGCAGTAGCTTCTGATAGATAATAGTCTCCTACACCTATATCCTGCAGTAGCTTCTGATAGATAATAGTCTCCTACACCTATCTCCAGCAGTAGCTTCTGATAGATAATAGTCTCCTACACCTATCTCCAGCAGTAGCTTCTGATAGATAATAGTCTCCTACACCTACCTCCTGCAGTAGCTTCTGATAGATAATAGTCTCCTACACCTATCTCCTGCAGTAGCTTCTGATAGATAATAGTCTCCTACACCTACCTCCTGCAGTAGCTTCTGATAGATAATAGTCTCCTACACCTACCTCCTGCAGTAGCTTCTGATAGATAATAGTCTCCTACACCTATCTCCTGCAGTAGCTTCTGATGTCTCCTACACCTACCTCCTGCAGTAGCTTCTGATAGATAATAGTCTCCTACACCTACCTCCTGCAGTAGCTTCTGATAGATAATAGTCTCCTACACCTACCTCCTGCAGTAGCTTCTGATAGATAATAGTCTCCTACACCTACCTCCTGCAGTAGCTTCTGATAGATAATAGTCTCCTACACCTATCTCCTGCAGTAGCTTCTGATAGATAATAGTCTCCTACACCTATCTCCTGCAGTAGCTTCTGATAGATAATAGTCTCCTACACCTACCTCCTGAAGTAGCTTCTGATAAATAGTCTCCTACACCTACCTCCTGCAGTAACTTCTGATAAATAGTCTCCTACACCTATCTCCTGCAGTAGCTTCTGATAGAAAACAGACGGTGAAACTCTAGGATTAGAAGATACTGACAGATCTACTACGTCACACTGTCACTAACATTCATGGAGTCACCCATCTGGACTCACGATGGGGAAGGCTGTTTTTGGTTTAGCATCCAGGAAACGGCAGAGAACGTCTCAGCTAGTAGAAGCTAACTGTTAGCATTAGCAACTCCACCACACAGCAGAACTCCTCCAGGCTTGTGTTATTTGTGGAGATAAAACATCAACGTTGCAGAGCAGACAGTCAGTGGTAGAGTCGTGTTGCTGTTAGCCAATCAGAGGAGAGATGTCCACAGAAGACCAAAAGCCCCGCCCCCCGAAGCTCGACTCTGATGCGGCTCACTTCAAGTTCCTGAAACAGGAGAACCGGAGCTTTTTCCCCAGAGAACAACTTACTAGGCATCCATTCCTACGAGAGACCACTGCAGACGAGTGAACCACGTCAAAACAAGACCGTTAATCCGATCGCTGGGAAAAAAAATCCTAACATTCCTAAGTGGAAACAAACAGCTGAGATGATCTAAAACATCTAAACTTCCACTATTTTAATCCGAGGATCTAGGAAATCAGAACCAGACCTTGTTGAGGATCCAGAGATGCTAACCAGGAGGAGCAGAGGCCTCGTCTGGGTCTATACAGCTTGGTTTGGTACCGAACCACGGCCACAAGGATCTGCAGCCGGTCTGGGTGGGCCTGTGGAGAGAGGTTCTGTTCTAGATCAGTAGAACTACTCAGACCTGCTCCAGTGTCGAGGAGGAGGCGGAGCTACCTTTAGAGAAGAGGCAATGGAGAAGGATCGTGGCTGGATCTCAGGGAACAGGTCCAGGAGGTGATCCACTCCGAGTTCACTTGTAGTTTGAGGGAAATCAGTCAGAACCTGCAAAACGAGCATCAAACCGGTTCAGAGGCTCCGGACTGGGTCAGCGGTTCTGGACCGTTTAGTCCCCACCTCCAGCGCCGTGCGTCGAGGTCGGTTGCAGTAACCGTGCAGCTCTTCCTGACCGGCCGCTGAGCTGAACTCCATCAGCTTGTCCCTTTCCCGCTCGTCGGTGGCGAACGTTGACAGAAGCTCAAAGAAGGAACGCCGCGGCACAGCGGCGATGTCCAGGTAACGCTCCACCAGGTGGTGCACGGTGCACGGCTCAGGAAGTCCCGCTGGAACTAAGAGGACAGATCAGAGAAGCTTTAGGACCCCAATAATCCCTAAGGAGACGGATTTATCCTAACCCAAACGGTCCGGAACACCGGAGTACCTGCAGCGTTCCCCGTGGGTTTGAGAGTGAAGCTGGATTCTGGGTCCAACCTGAGCAGCTGACAGAAGAGCCGAACATCTGCTGCAGCGTTGTGAGGACGAATCATCACAATGTCTCCAGCTGCAAACCTGCTGAGCAACATCACAGGTAAGTCCAGAACAAATCCCAGAACCACATTCGGATCTGGACCAGCTGAAGGTACGCACTCGATCCCGGACCCAGAAATATCAAACTCAATCAGTCGCACATCCTGGAAATGAGACGGATGCGTCACTCTCCTGTTGGACAGCATCCTGGCAGGAAAAGGACAGGACTCGGACGGGGCGGTTCGGTCCGAGGGGACTCTGGCTGGATCGGTGGTTCTCTTCGTCTCAGCATCCAGGAAGTGGAACGTGAACGAAGGTGGGAGTCTGGAACGAAACCCAAACAGGAGCTGGTGTTTACAGCCCAACATGGAACGAGCTGCTGGACAGAGACACTCACGGTTCGTCCTCCCTCAGAGGGACCACATCAGCCAGAGACGGGTTCAGAACCAGAACCTTCTCCCAGAATAAAGAGAGCCACGGGTCGATGACGGCGTCCGGCCTGTTCCAGACACACCCGCGTGAGAGAAAGCCAAACACAGGTGTTCATCCGGAGGAGCGGCGGTCTCACCCCAGGTCGTGCTGGTCGTCTGCCAGACCGACCGGAACCAGCATGGTACCACCTAGCTGCTCCAGACGCTTGTGAAGCTTCTTGGCCACAAAATTAAACCTAAAACATAAAAGAGCTCTGATGCTGCTGCAGAAACAGGAAATCTCCACAAACATTCCTACTTTAGGATTCTAATGGTATTCCAGCTCTTCATCACTCCGTCTCCTCATCCTCAGAGGGAACTCCAAACTGGACCACAAGACAGAAACCTCTAAAATCTGGAGAGCCTGAAGAACCCAGAGGAACTAACTTCGGATAGGAGGAGTCTCCCAGACCCAGAACTGCACAGTCCAGCCGGTTCAGAGCGCCAGCAGGTACGGACTTCCGAAACAGGAACCTCCAGAAGGTCTTCAGACACAAACACAACCACATGACTCCTGCAGCTAGAGGTCGTGTCTGAGGAGGAGCTGTGTGTGTTGTGCTACCTTCATGTTGTCTGGAGGGTCTCCTTGTCCCGTGGTGGAACACACGAACACAACCAGAACCTCTGAGATCAGCTGGGCCTGAAACCACATCAGTCAGATCCACTTCCACCTGTTCCACAGAAGACACGAACCCTCCTCACTCACCGGGTCATACCGGTCCAGAGGCATCACCCGAACCTTCAGCCGCCTCCTCTGGGCCTGCCGGGCCACCCTGTGGGCCGTGTCCTGGGCGGTACCGGTCTGACTCCCGTACAGAACCAATAGAACCGGGCCCGACATTGTGGCTAGAGGACAAGCAAAGTTAGCTTTGAGCTTATCGACAAAACTTTTTTTCACCTTTATACAGTGAAAAAACACACACACAGTTACACACACACACACCATCGCCGTTCACAGGGAGTGTGTATAAATACCACACACGTATTCATGTGTGTATAACCACTGTAGACATATACATGCATAGTATTTATACACACACCACACAGGGTGTATAAATACCACACACGTATTCATGTGTATAACTACTGTAGACATATACATGCATAGTTTTTATACACACACCACACAGGGAGTGTGTATAAATACCACACACGTATTCATGTGTATAACTACTGTAGACATATACATGCATAGTATTTATACACACACCACACAGGGAGTGTGTATAAATCCCACACACGTATTCATGTGTATAACTACTGTAGACATACACATGCATAGTATTTATACACACACCATCGCTGTTCACAGCGAGTGTGTATAAATACTACACACATATACATGTGTGTATAAATACTATGGACAAATACATGCATAGTATTTATACACACCATCACCGTTCACAGGGAGTGTGTATAAATACCACACACGTATACGTGTGTGTATAACTACTATAGACATGTGTACATGTCTGTATAAATACTATACACATGTACATGTATGTGTAAATACTATAGACATGTGTACATGTATGTGTAAATACTATAGACATGTCTGTAATGTTGTGGTCCAGGAGACTTGGCATTAACAGGTCTGTTAGCTGCTAACAGCGGAGCTAACAGCTAACAGACCAGAGAACAAAGTTTTTCTATTTGCGTTTATTCTTCACTAAATAATTAAAATAAATGTAATGTGGTAAAAAGAACGCAGGATACTTACGGCTTCCGTCTCTGTCTAAAACGGCTTTAAAGGTGATTAAAACGGTGACATGTAAAGGAGCTGACTGGAGTCAAACAAGCGCCGTAAAGCAGGTCACTTACGACACACTTTACGACAAAGCCGGTGCACTCGTTTGTAGCGTAACCAGAGGCCCAACACTCGCCCTACAGCAAAGTGCACCAGGAGAAACTGCGCTAAGGCTTCGAGTGCGTGGTTCACAAGTCACTTGTGACAAGTGTGCAAATAATTACCGAATTAATTACAGGGAGCATTGCGTCATCAATCGCAACACATGCCGGGATGCTGGTCGCTTTGATACTTTCTCCAAAAACCTTTAACTTTTAAAACAACCAAAGTTATTTTTCAATAAATTTACATTAATTGCTGGTTTTTCTAAAATATTAAGAGCATCAACTAATCATCCAAAACGAGCTTTAATTACAACTAATCACCCAAAACGAGAAAAGGAACTTGAGCCTTTTCTCCTGCAGCACTGACTTGTGATATAACCCAAGTCCACATACAGTCTGTAGATGCAGACTTGGGTGAAGTGTGGATCAAGGGTGCAAAGGGGGCGTGATCAACTTCCGCACTTCAGGATCGGGACACCCTAAGCACTTGTTGGAAGTGCGAGTATTGGGATTGGACCATTAACAGTTACACTGATGTCTATAAAGGACCGTCAGAAAACCTCAGGAAGGATTTTATGAGTTTGATGGAAAAGCTACAAACCCATGAAACATTAAATCTATCAGAGAAGGAGCTGGGGTGTAGGCGCGTGTGCAGTGGTGTGTTTCAGGTAAAAACAAAAGTCCTGCACAAGTTTTCAGCTGTGCCTGAATCCGTCCCGTTTTCCTTCCCTGCAGGCAGACTTCCTGTAAGGCTTCAATGTGCTTCTGGATCAGGAATGACATGTTGACTAGACTTGTTGACGTTTTGCTCTTTGGTTGATTTCTGTTTTCCGTTCTTGTATTTGATCAGGTAACTTTGGGTTTGTTTAAGCCGACCAAAGCTCATCAGAGACCTGAACCAGGGCCTCCTCAGCAGGTCCTACAGAAGCTGATCAGGTGCTGCAGCAGAGGAACGTCTCAGACCTGCAGCAGTTTGGATCTGCTGTCTAATGGAATCTGGACAGAAACAAAAGGCTGCTGGTCAGATGAAATAATCGAAGAATCCAGATCAGCAGGTGTTGTGTGGGTACAGGGTAACACAGGAGTTTTATTAGCTTTAGAATCAGATTACATGAAAACATTTACAGTAGTTTTTGCAGGAGAGTTGAGAGCACGTTGACAGAACAGCTTCACACAGAAACGAGCTGTGAGACGATTTAAGTTGGTGTGAAACCAGCAGATGGACATGGAGGCAGTTAGATAACCGCTTTAGCTCATGTTGGCCTGATGAATAACAGACGGGTGTTTTCTGCATCCGGATCAATACAGATCTAAATCTTATTAAAACAGCATCCTGATTTTCAGCATCAAACCACTTCGTTTGAGCCAGTTTGAACTTTAAATACTCGTTAAAAGACTTAAATAATATTCTAGCGGGTCTAGAAGGACAACATGTAAAGTGCTTAGAGCAGCTGGCCTCTGGGACGGAGATTAAAGCTCAGTAAACGTGGACAGAAGGGTTAGGATGTGCCCTCTGCCCTGGACAGAAGGCACCAAACAGGAAGTTCAGGCAAGGAGCAGAGAAGATAAAGGAAGGATGACCCAATCCAGCCTTAAAGGGCTTCGGCCCGTAGAATCTGGGGCTATGATCGTCCGTAACCGTCGTTCCTGTTTTCATCAAACTAGCGTTAAAAATAACAGAAGATTTACAAAATGTACAAGAAGAAGGCACGAATGATGAGTGAAGACGTTCTAAGGTGAAACGGTCTTCAACCAGTGAGGGGGGGGGGGGTCCCACTTAATACACACATGTTCAGTTAACTACATGTTAGCTAGAACCGACAGAACCAGAACCAGCAGTAGCAAAGTGGCTCAGAGCTTCAGAAACCTGGTAAAAGCGTTTAAACACGACGACGTCACAGCAGCTTCAGGGTCATGCATCACCACGGCGGGGAGGGGGGGGGGGTCCGGCTCAGCCGCGGAACAGACGGATCCGCTGGGCGATGCTGCTGCGGCACAGAGGACAGCCCTGCAGAGCATCGCTGCACACCTGGCAGCAGCACACGTGACCGCAGGGCAGGAAGATGACCTGAGGCTGAGCAAACACAGGAAGTGACGTCACCAGCAGGAAAAACCAAATGCTCATCAGCCTGAACTAGAAATAAGTAAAACGTGCTCTAGACATCAGATGTTTACAACGTGGATGTTGGAATTTCAGCTGCAGTGTTCAGAGATGTTCCAGCGATAAGAAGCCGTCTAAGGCGTAGCGGTCGCCGCACTGGAGGCCCATCCTGCAGCAGCACACCTGGTCCGAGTCAGCACGCCTGGTCCGAGTCAGCACGCCTGGTCCGAGTCAGCACGCCTGGTCCGAGTCAGCACGCCTGGTCCGAGTCAGCACGCCTGGTCCGAGTCAGCACGCCTGGTCCGAGTCAGCACGCCTGGTCCGAGTCAGCACGCCTGGTCCGAGTCAGCACGCCTGGTCCGAGTCAGCACGCCTGGTCCGAGTCAGCACGCCTGGTCCGAGTCAGCACGCCTGGTCCGAGTCAGCACGCCTGGTCCGAGTCAGCACGCCTGGTCCGAGTCAACACGCCTGGTCCGAGTCAGCACGCCTGGTCCGAGTCAGCACGCCTGGTCCGAGTCAGCACGCCTGGTCCGAGTCAGCACGCCTGGTCCGAGTCAGCACGCCTGGTCCGAGTCAGCACACCTGGTCCGAGTCAGCACACCTGGTCTGAGTCAGCAGGGACGAACAGCTGACCCTAACCCATCATTAAAGCAGGTGTGTCGCTGCAGCAGAACGAACCTCCACCACCAGGCTGGAAGAGCCCAGCTCTAATACAGTTATCAGCTTTTCCTACGCTGTCCTTTAAATGGTTCTGATCCGAAAAGAACATTCAATCCGGTTCTAATGGACCTCTGGACTTCTGGTTCTGGATGAACTCACCCCAGTCTCCATGCAGACCACACACTCTGAGCTTCCCGGTCCCTCCAGGGGCACAGGGGCCGACGGGGTGACAGGGGTTCCTGGGCTCCGTGGGGGACTAGGGGTCTGTAAGGTGGAGGTCCTGGAAGGACACGGAGGGGCGGACGGAGCCGTGGGGACGGCTTCCTGTTCCTGTTGGTCCGCCTTACGGACTCCTGCTGGAGCAGAACTCAGGTTCAGTCATAAATGACAGAAACACAGTTTGAGCAGGTGAGTCTGGTGGCTCATCCAGGTGTTGTACCTGCAGGCTGGCGCTCCCGGGTCCAGCTCAGCAGAGCCTTCTGGATCCCCGTTTCCGTAATTCCCACCTGAGGAATAATAGATTGGATCACACCAGAGACCCGGGGCCTCATGTGCCAGCCGTACTAATGAACAGATGTGTGTGTGGTGCGTAGGAACTAACGTACACACTGTGTGTGTCCATCATGTTGTACCTGTGTGGAAACTAGGGATGGGTACCTTTGACATTTGAATCGATACCGGTACTTAACGGTACCAATTTTAGATACTTTTGAGTGTTTATTATTTTAATTCTCTTTTATAATTAAATATATATTTTTCTCAATATATAACAATATTTGATAAATATCACGATAAATTACATACAACTGTTTGTATTTTAACATCGTCCTTGTAGTTTTATAAGCTGATAATTAAACTGAAGCAAACATCTTTACTGTGAACTAAATTTACTGTGTATCTTCATTCCTTTTACCGTCCTTTTTCATTTGATTTTTCCTACTGGGAAGCTAGAATTTCCGAGGAGAAAGCGAACGCACCATTAGCTGATCACAACGGTGGCAATGGAAGCTAATTTATCAAGCTAACGTTATCTTAAACAGTTTCTTTAACTGCTGGAGCAGATTTAAACGATGATGCCTCACACTTAGATCGTTGTCACTGGTTTCATCTTCACCCAATCGCCCGTCGCATTTAGTAAAGTGAAGCCAAACTTTAGAGCGCGTTCGTGTTCTACTCGGAAATTCGGAGTTCTGAGGAGAAAGCGAACGCACCATTAGCGGAACGGAAGCTAACATATCAAGCTAACGCTATCTTAAACATTATATTTACCTACCGGAGCAGATTAAGATGAGGATGTCTCACTTAGATCGTTGTTGCTGGTTTCATCATCACCCAATTACCCATCACATTTAGTGAAGTGGACCCGAGCTTTAGCGTGCGTTCTTTCTACCGTGCTGCTCTGTTTACAACTCGCTCGCAGCGACCGACGACATAACGCTCTTGCGCATGCGCAGCTGTCTAGGCAAGTTCTCGTTATGAAGGACGGTACTGTGGAATTCGGTCGGTACCTTAAAAAGTACCGAATTCGGTACCCATCGCTAGTGGAAACGTTCCTAAACATCAGAACACTTCAGACGTGTGTAGGAACAGCATCTAGTGGTAGAACGGGGAACCGCTACGCCGAAGGTCTCAGTCATCCACTCATTATTTTACCCAGTAAATAAATATTTATGTGGAATAACAGCCGAGTCAAATTCCCGGTGCTACAACACCGACGGGAATCCGACTGTAGAAGGGAAGTCGTGTTTAGTTCATCTTCCATTTTTATGATGTTCTTAACAGTTTTAAATAATTAATATTATAGTTTTATGATGTGATATTTTTGTGAGTCTGCTTGAGACGCGTTAGATAAAAGATGCTTTCTAGATTATTAGGAAGGATCTGTCGGAGCTCCTCTGGAGGAAACGCAGATCCGTCTGGAGCGTCGCTGGGATTTGGGATCCTTGTGGAGCGACAGATAAACCGCACAGATCCGATTCTGTTTTACAACTACCAGAACCTCCTCTGCTCCCCATCGCACACATGTCGCCATGGTAACCAGAGTGAATGACAGCTGAGAGGCTGCACTCAGACATCTCCAGATAAAAGTAACTCCCTCCAGAAGGACTCCTTAAGTGTAAATGAGAACCCGTTACTCTACGATTGATCAGATTAACGTTTTTATTTGTTCCTGACAGGAACCTCTCCTCTGTCCCGACCGCGTTTACAAACTCTAACACTTGTTTGGTTTTGCACTTCGACAGAAAGTGTCTCGATCTCACGAGATTCCTTTTTTCTGGGCAGAACGCAGGAATCCCTCACGAGCTGAGGAGGTAGCGTGACCAAATATGGGTAATTGAGGGCGTTCCTGTATGTAAGTGACTGAGAATGGACACGAGCACCAGGGCAGCACAGGCGGGATTTATCATCGGAAGAGTGCGGAGGATCGTGCGTACGAGAGACCGCCGCATGCCTCATGAATCAGGATTCTGACCATTCCTATGAACGTTCTACGTTCCGTTCATAGGAAGGAATTTAGAAATTTTTCTACGAACATTTGATGATCGAGGCCCCAGGTGCTGAGCGGACTCTGGACACAGAATCAGATCTACCTGCTTCAGGTCCGATGAGGTCATGTGACACAGCGCCTCCGTAGTGATGTGATGGTGGGCCAGGACAGGCAGGTAGTGCTGAGCTGAGAGTCTACAGAGCAGGTGGACTAACTCCATCTCCACTCCTGCTTCCTGTGTTCAGAAGCAGCTTTAGAACCTCGAGACCATTGTTCTGACCCGATTCCTGACAGTTCTGCTGCGGTTCTGTACCTGCATGCGGAGAGACAGCGGTTTGGCGTCCAGCAGCCTCTGGTACTGGATCATCCAGTAGTTCTGCTGGTTGGACTCAGAATTCCTCTCAATCTCCACCTGAAGAACAAAAACATGTTTCTGACAGCTGCTCCCCTCCTGAGCCCGTCGGGTTCTGGTTCTGAGTCTGGGTCTAGGTGTGGGCCCGGTCCTACCAGGATCTGTCTGAGTTCCTGCTCGCGCTGGTCCTTCTGCTTCAGCAGCTGCTGCAGCAGGTCACTGAGAGCCGTCCGCTGCTCCACCAGAACCTCCTGCAAACACCAGCAGAACCGGTTAACGAACCACTTATCTCACATCAACAGAACCGGGTCCTGGAGCAGAGCCCGGTGGGCCTGCAGCTGTAGTTCTGACCACATGTAGAACTGATGACATGGAGCAGGAACAGGATCAAATGTGTGACAGCGGAGGAAGAGGCGGCGACACCCACCTGCAGGTTCTCAGAGTCCAGATTACGTCTTTTAATCTCCAGATTAGTCAGCTGCATGAGTTCTCCTTCTATCAGCTTGATCTGAGGAGGTGAGAAGCTGCTGAGGTCAGGTGGAACCAGCTGATGGGTGACACTAAACAACCCACAGGTAGGAGGATACCCCTCCAAACCAGCAGGGGGCGCTGCAGACCACCCTCCACCATGCTGACATCCCACTAATCAGGTATTTACTTTCATTAGCTCATCTTCATTTTGAGAGGAGAAACTTACAGAAGATATGAAACGACAGAAATGCAGACGCAGACGTTCAGGTGTCGCTCAGCAGGTAAATAAACAACCGAGTCCAGCTGTTTAACGGTTGCCATTGGTAACCAGGTGTCTGTTCACTACTATACATACTGATTACAGCTGGAGGCAAACAGAAGCTTTATAATCTCATCGTGAGATGTTGTATCCAATCAGAACCAACAGGAATGCTGTTACGTTAGCTCCGCCCCTTCCGTCCACAGAGTCACATCCTACAGCGACAGAAACCGGAGCTGGTGGAACCAAACCAGCGTTCTGCACGGCCATTAGGATGTGTGAGGAGTTCGATGGTGATGTAGGGGCTGGAAAAGCAGGATGAGGAGGAGAAGCGACGGCGGCTGTGGGCGCTCCTGACCTGGTTACGGATGTATCCGTGAACAGCGTCTTTCTGCAGCTGCAGCGCCTGGAAAGCAGCTTTCTGCATCTCCTCCTGCACGAACCAATCAGAAGACACGTAACAGAAGACATGAGGGTGGGGCTTCCGTTCCTCCATCTCCTCACAGCACCCCTTACCTCCTGCAAGATCTGAGCGATGGCCTTAGACTTGTCCAGGACCTGGAGAGACAGCATCCGCTCACACTTCCTGTCCAGAGTCTCCATGCTGTTGCAGGACAAAGAGAGACGGAGTCAGGACAGACCCGCAGATGTTCCGGATGCTCAGCTGTGATCTGGGGTTGTCACCTCCTGCAGGCCTCGGAGACCAGACTCTGCCTGCGACAGTCGCTGGCCTCCTGCAGGAGGCTCATGGCGTAGCCGTCCGACAGCAGCTTCTGCATGGCGGCTGCACGCCACCAGGAAGGGTTGAGATGGAGTCAGGAGGGGAACGGGACACAGATACCACAACAACATGGACATTCCATAAACGCTGTTATTCCTACCTGCCACCTCCTTCTTCCTCAGGGAGTTGGCCTCTTCCTGTGTGATGGTCGTCAACTGCTCCATCCGGATCCTGGAAGTCAGACCAAAAGCTTTTAACTGCTGCAGCTGATGAGGATCTGGGAGAAACCCGGAAGGTTTCACGCGTGTGAAGCTAAAGGATCTCAGGGATTAAAACAGAACTTAATCGGAAGCTTTAATCCGTGAAGTTCTTTTATCTGTGAGCCACGAATGAAGGACTTCACGTGTCTGATCTCATCGTCTATCTCTGAAAGAACTTAGTCCATCTGGCCTGGGAGAAGCTCCACTAATTGTGGGATAATGGGAAAACTATTGGATCGTTTTGGGCTGAGAGTGCTCCTCTGGGTTCTGGGTCCACTCACCGGTCCTCCTCCATGGCCTGGAGAAACTCGGTACTCTTCTTCTGCCTACAGAAACATTGAGAGGATGTGGATTGAGTCGAGGTTCTTCCGTAGGTGTACAGGAGCAGACCTCGGAAGCGTTTGGTCCCACCTGTTGTTGTCCATCAGCAAGCTGCCAATGCGGCTGCTGATGTTGTCTTCAGCCTGACGGACCTTCTCCAGGATGAGCAGCCTCTCGGCCTCCTGAGCTCTCTGCTGCTGGCTGAAGCCCAGCTCCACGCGCTCCTGCTCCTGAAGACCACAGGAGTCATCAGAACCAAACAATGAGGAGACCTCCACCTTCAACCCTGACCCAGAGTCCTGAGCAGGAACGCTACAGTTGAAGATGATGTGAAGGACGTTTAAACAAATGATGAAGCAGCTCGATGTCATCTCATCTGACTGAAACATGAAGCTGCAGAGGATCAGAACCTCTAAAATCACCTAATCCACCATCACGGGTTATCACTTTCTACCCGTGTCAACACTCCCCACCTGTTGATGGTCAAAATGTTTAGGAGGTTTTAGGTCCTGATCTAAACCTCTAGCAGGATGAAACCTGAGGAGATGAACACAGATTACAATAGACATCTCGTCGTGCTTTTATTCTGAAGGGCTGCACCGCAGCGTGGTCAGAAGAGCAGAGATCATGAATGATACTGGGCTGGGTTGTGAGCGTACCTGTCGGACTGAGATCAGGATGTTTTCCTTGTGGGAGTTGTTCATGAGGAGAAGCTGAGTGTGCTCCTTTTGTTTCTCCTCCAGGTGGCGCTCAAAGGCCAACTTCTCCTGCTGCTTCAGCTCCTGGAGAAGAACAAGAACTTTCAGAATAAATCTGAGAAAAGACGTGCGTGTGTGTGCATGTCTCTGTGTGTGTGTGTGTGCATGTGTGTGCATGTCTGTGTGTGCGTGTGTGTGCATGTCTGCGTGTGTGTGCATGTGTGTGCGTGTGTGTGCATGTGTGTGTGTGCGTGTGTGTGCATGTCTGCGTGTGTGTGCATGTGTGTGCGTGTGTGTGCATGTCTGTGTGTGCGTGTGTGTGCATGTCTGTGTGTGTGTGTGTGTGCATGTCTGTGTGTGCGTGTGTGTGTGTGTGTGCATGTCTGTGTGTGCGTGTGAGTGCATGTCTGTGTGTGCGTGTGTGTGCATGTCTGTGTGTGCGTGTGTCTGTGTGTGCGTGTGTGTGTGTGCATGTGTGCATGTGTGTGCATGTCTGTGTGTGCGTGCGTGCATGTCTGTGTGTGCGTGTGTGTGTGTGTGCATGTGTGTGCGTGCGTGTGTGCGTACATGTGTGTGCGTGCGTATGTGCGTACGTGCATGCGCGTGCGTGTGTGTGTGTGTGGCCACAAACCTTTCTCTTCTCATAGTCACTGATTTTATTCTATAACAGATAAAATGAAATAAAAAACAGATTTCAGCATCTTTAACACCCGCCAGCCAAAACATTATGACCATCAGCTTCCTGGTATGTGTGTGTGCCTCTTTGGGGTTATTCTGGTACCTTCCAGACCTCCTCAAGTCCATCCAAACAGTCAGAGTCCTGTTTGCTGCAGTCGGTCTCCAGAACCGGCAGCAGATACTGGGATGGGGGGCAGTATTCCTCTCCCAGTTCTGAAAATCCACCACACAGAAGCACACACAACTAACTGGGTCTGCAGCACAACTAAGATTTCTGTTGTTTCCTTCAGTTTGTGCAGATCAGGCCTCGTGTAATCTGCAACCACGCCCCCAATCTGCTTCACAACGGTGGCAGTAAGTGTCACTCTGCTGTTTTTACCGTTAACCACTGGAAATATCCACCTGTTGCTGAAAATCTATCAAACGATGCTCAGTTGTCCAAAAATGTTGGCGGCTTCGTAACATATAACCATAAAAATAAAGTCTAAAATACATGAGAGCAGGTCTAAGTCTCTGAGCCGCTAATGAGTAGAGGCCGGCTGATACATTGGGCTGATATTTTACATTTTCTATACATTAGCCGGAATTTTTTTTTAAAAGCCGATAAAAAATAAATCAATAAAAAGTCAGGCGCTCGTGTGGCCAACTGCCGCCACTACTGGACTAGACGCACAGGTTTTTAGAATCTTTTGAGTTTGTTTTACATTTGAGGTTCAATAAATATTAAAAGAGTTACTGACTTATTTAATTTAAATTGCACACAGTAGGGCTGAACGATTTTGGGAAATAATCTAATTGTGATATTTTTCTTTAATATTGCAATTGCGATTTAATTCACAAATATTTTCTCAAGGGGCTTTTCTCATTTTTCAACTAACGGAAGCAAAAAAAAGATCAATGTAACTTGTACTGAATATCAACAAGTTTATTTGTCTACACACAAACGAACACTCACAAGACAGCATCTTGTATTTGAAGGTAGGAGCACATCCCTTGAAGGAGCATAGGTATTAGCATCAACTGTGAAAATTTATTTGCAGGAAAGAAGTGTGTCCCGTTTATTGAAGTCTTTTGTGTTTAGAGTTTTTGACGTCTTGTCCATGCAGAGCTTCCGTATTTAGTTATGTTCACAGCTGCTAGCCAAAACTCAGTGGAGTTGAAGTACAGTTTTCTAGCTTTACTAAAATATCTGTCTGTACTTATTTGATTAATGGCAGTTTTTACTTTTTATTAGACTCCAAATGTAATCATTTGGCACGTTCCTAATTCGTAATTTGTAAGAATCTATTCGGCGATATTAGCATTAGCATCCCTATGGGTTTTTCAATGTATATTAGCATTGTGCTAACCACTCGCAGCCAGTCAAATCGCAGCCTTTGCGATTAGAAAATCTCCTTTTGTCACATCGCAATTTAATTGCATATGCAATTAATCGTTCAGTCTTAGCTCACAGTGAGTGTTCAGTTGTCCTTCACAATCAACATGCTGCTAAAACGCAAATATCGGCCTTAATAATCGGCTTTAGATATTGACCACAGGCAACAAAATTCTTTAAAAATCGGTATCTGCCTTAAAAAACCCACATCGGTCGACCTCTACTAATGAGTGCTAACCAGTGATGCCAGTAAAGCGTTACTCTAAAATGGCCAATTTTCCCAGTAATGACTAATCTAACGCGTTACTATTTCCATACAAGTAAACAAATGAAAGTTACTTTTCCCAGACACTACCGATTACTAGTTTTGTGAAAGCGTTTTCATGTTTGGTCACGATGTGAAAACCAGCTACAGGAAGAACTTCTAACTGCCTCAACATAAAAGTCAGCAATCAGTTTTCTATGCATAAATGATGCATTAAATGCTAACAGCTAGCATCTAACGTGGTCATACACACCGGCAGCCATGGTTACTGTTAAGACACATCACGCTAAAAGGATTACCATCAGAACACCGAACAAAAGACGAATAACCAACAAAACACACCAAAACAGAACAGACAACTGGAAAACTGGCTACCCACAATGCACCTCACCTGCTGCTCGTTCCACAGTCACTAGTGTCACTAGTGACCCTGTTGGATGCTAATTGTTAGCATTCTTCCAAATGCATTGCATCAGCATCACAAAACTGATTGTTGAATTTAATGTCGAGGCAATGATTACTGTTAGTAGCAGCTGTTGAAAGTAACTTCTAATCTAACTTAATTACTTTTGAAATGCAGGAATCAGTAAAGTAACTTAGTTACTTTTGAATGTAGTAGTGAGTAGTCAAACTATTATTCAAGGCAACAGTGGTGCTAACTACTGCTAATTAGCACTAACGAGTGCTAACTACTTCTAACTAGCACTAACGAGAGCTAACTACTGCTAACTAGCATTAACGAGTGCTAACCACTGCTAAACTAGCACAAACTACTGCTAACGAGTGCTAACTACTGCTAAACTAGCACTAACTACTGCTAACTAGGGCTAACGAGTGCTAACTACTGCTAAACTAGCAATAACTACTGCTAACTAGGGCTAACGAGTGTTAACTGCTGCTAACTAGGGCTAACGAGTGATAACTACTGCTAAACTAGCACTAACTACTGCTAACTAGCGCAAACTACTGCTAACTAGGGCTAAACTAGCACTAACTACTGCTAACTAGCGCTAACGAGTGTTAACTACTGCTAACTAGCGCTAACGCGTGTTAACTACTGCTAACTAGGGCTAACGAGTGCTAACTATTGCTAAACTAGCACTAACTACTGCTAACTAGGGCAAACAAGTGTTAACTACTGCTAACTAGGGCTAACGAGTGTTAACTACTGCTAACTAGGGCTAACGAGTGTTAACTACTGCTAACTAGGGCTAACGAGTGTTAACTACTGCTAACTAGGGCTAACGAGTGTTAGTGACTTGACCTGCTGCAGGTCAGTGGTGTTTGTTTCAGCAGGAGGAACATTAATGAGGTCATCAGTTTGATTGTGGTCTCCAGCGATTCTTAAATGCCTAACTCAAATCCATTTAAACCCACCCCCAGTTGTGACCTTTGACCCTACCGCTGCACAGGTAGCGCTGGATGCTCTCGGTTCCCTCTGAGCACACGGATGCAGGTGGAAACGTCATGGCGGCGGCGTCGAGGGTGAGGCTCTGTCACACACAAACATAATGGGGTCATTGATGAAACCAGGAGAACTTCCTGAGTTCTGCTGCTGGGACACTAACGGACCTCCAAGGTGCGGATGTGGGCCAGCGCTTTGGGGAGCTGCATGACCTTGTTGTCGCTGACGTCCAGAGTCCGCAGGCTCCTCAGAGAGCCGATAGAGGGTGGCAGCTCACTCAGACGGTTTCCTGTTGGTGAGTCATGACAGGTCATGTGACCGTTCACGCTGAAACAAACAGGAAGTAAAGGCCTCACCCTTCACGTTGAGCGTCTGCAGCAGCTGCAGCTTCCCGATGGATTCTGGCAGGACCTTCAGATGGTTCTTCTCCACATTCAGGATCTAACGGATCAGAACCAGAGACGTGAAGAGCAGCAGCCAATAAGTGTCATTCCTGCTCCCCCGGCAAGCAGACCTACCTGCAGAGTAGAGACTTTCCCAATGTCCTCTGGGAGACACGTGAGCTGATTGTCATGCAGGTCCAGGACCTTCAGAAACAGAAAGAAAACATCAGATTGAGGTCTGATCAGGTCAACCAGATCTCCATCAGCTGCTGGTCATCATCTTCCTGTCTCCGTTCCCAGCAGCCCCTCTAAAAGGGTTGTGGCTTTTCTCTGGTTCTGGACCCAGTTTTGTTTTCCTGTTGGTTTCTCTGATGCTGGGCTGGTTTCAGAAATAAAGGAGTGGTGGAAGATAAGTTTTAGCCTCAAAAGTCACACAGATCCATCAGAGAGCTGGACAGGGACCAGAACCAGACTTCTTCAGCTGTCTGAATCTTCTGGTTGGAGCTGAAGTTCTGATTCTGAACCAGACTGGGTCTCTGTCAGGCTGCTGGTACCAGAAGAGTCTAGAGATCCAGTTTAAACTGGTTCTGGTGTGGTGACATGACTTTGGCTCATCCCTTGAGTTCGAGGAGTCTTTTCCTGTCTGGACCGTCGGGTCTCTGAGGAGAATCCTCCTCCAGAACATTAGCTACATGGTATCGGATCCTTCTGACCAGGTGGTTTACCTTTAAGGTGGACAGAGTGCTGATGTCACATCCCTTGGTCAGTAGAACCCTCAGCTCGTTGGTGTGGAGGATCAGGACCTGACGAGACCACCAGAGTCTGAGTAGGTTTCTGATCTCATCAGAACCACATCCGGGATTCTTACCTTCTTCTGCAGAACCTTGCAGATGGAAAAGGCACTGGACGGGACCTGAAGCAGAACCAATCAGAACCCAGAGACCATTACCAGCGTGTTCATCAAAGGTTATCAACAAGCGGGCTAACAAAAGGCCAGTACCAAACTGCTGCCTCAGTGAGAGGCTCACCTCTGAGAGTTCGCAGCCCGAGATGTCCAGGATGTCATCAGCACCTGCTTCCTTGGCCTGGAGGACAGGTAAAGGTTACTGGGCCAGTTTAAACTTCACCAGCACACGGACGTGGGACCTGCTCCAGCAGAGAGGCATCTTCTTACCCGACACAGCTGGTGCTCCAGCCTCTTCCGACAGTCCTCACTGGGCTTCTTCTTCCTGGAGAATAGCGGCATCCTGAGCCCCGCCCCCCCCCCCCCCAACGCTGCGGCGGGCGGGAACAAATCAGATCAGGAAAAATTCATTCGCAAAAACTGTTTTTTGCAATTTGGTTTCTAAATGTTTTTACTAGAGGCCGATCTATATGATTTTTTTTAAGGCCGATGACGATTTTTAAAGAATTTTGTTGCCCATGGCCGATATCTAAAGCCGATCATTTAGGCCTGTCTAAAGGATTATAGGAACACCACACTAATACGGTGTTTGATGCCCTGTCGCCTTCAGAACTGCCTTAATTCTACGTGGCGTTGATTCAACAAGGTGCTGAAAGCATTCTTTAGAAATGTCGGCCATATTGATAGGATAGCATCTTGCAGCTGATGGAGATGTGTGGGATGCACATCCAGGGCACGAAGCTGCCGTTCCACCACATCCCAAAGATGCTCTATCGGGTTGAGATCTGGTGACTGTGGGGGCCGTTGTAGTAGTGAACTCATCGTCATGTTCAAGAAACCAATTAGAAATGACTGGAGCTTTATCACATGGTGCATTATCCTGCTGGAAGTAAACATCAGAGGATGGGTACATGGTGGTCATGAAGGGATGGACATGGTCAGAAACAATGCTCAGGTAGCCCGTAGCATTTAAACCATGCCCAATTGGCACTGAGGGGCCTAAAGTGTGCCAAGAAAGCATCCCCCACACCATGACACCACCACCACCAGCCTGCACAGTGGTAACAAGGCATGATGGATCCATGTTCTCATTCTGTTTACGCCAAATTCTGACTCTATCATTTGAACGTCTCAACAGAAATGGAGACTCGTCAGACCAGGCAACACTTTTCTAGTCTTCAACTGTCTGATGTTGGTGAGCTGGTGCAAACTGTAGCCTCTTTTTCCTGTTTGCAGTGGAGATGAGTGGTACCCGGTGGGGTCTTCTGCTGTTGTAGCCCATCCGCCTCAAGGTTGTGCGTGTTGTGGCTTCACAAACGCTTTGCTGCATTCCTCGGTTTTAACTAGGGTTAGGCTCTTTTATCAGCTTGACTCAGTCGGCCCATTCACCTCTGACCTCCAGCATCAACAAGGCATTTTTTCGCCCGACAGGACTGCCGCATACGGGATGTTTTTCCTTTTTCACACCGTTCTTTGTAAACCCTAGAAATGGTTGTGGGTGAAAATCCCAGTAACTGAGCAGATTGTGAAATACTCGGACCGGCCCGTCTGGCACCAACAACCATGCCACGCTCAGAATAGCTTAAATCACCTTTCTTTCCCATTCTGACCTTCAGTTTGGAGTTCAGGAGATTGTGTTGACCAGGACCACACCCCTAAATTTACTGAAGCAACTGTCATGTGATTGGTTGATTAGATCATTGCATTAAGGAGAAGTTGAACAGGTGTTCCTAACAATCCTTTAGGTGAGTCACTCATTGAGTGTATAAAGCTGAGAGGAGTTCCAGAGATGCTGTTGAACCATAAACGGTAACCAGCAGCAGACAAGAGGGTCTGATTACATATTTATGCTGCTGATGGTTAAAGGATGGAGCAAACAGGGTGTGGATGAAGGCGATGGATGGATGACTGCAGGATGAAACAAGCCCCCCCCCCCCCCCCCCCCAAAGACCCAAGATTAATTTAGAGAAGTATAAAAACTATAATAATAATAATAATCATAATAGTAATAATTAGTTTACCCCTGAGTAACAGAAACAGCTGTGATTTGAAGGTAAATGGCATTTGTATTTATTTTTATTTTTTATTTTGTATTGTTGTTATAGTTAGATTCTTTATTTTTACCTAATTCTGGGTCTGAAAATAGATGCCGACTTGTTAGTTAGTGGCGTGTTTCCCCAAATATCACGTAAACCACCATTACTTATTTATTTTTATTATATTTATTAAGAAAACCAAACACAACATTCTTGTCTCTGAGGCTGTGAATAACTCGCCTCCCATGATGATGATGATGTTCAGCTTCATCAAGCTAACAGCTAGCATGTAAATAAAACCCATAAAGCTGTCACAACGCGGCTTGTAGCCGATAATTTTAATAATATTAAAATGCTTTAATACTCACACTCTCGCCTGTGGTGGGTATTTTTCTGCTCTTTACTCGTTTAGGTTTCAAACGTTGCAGAGGAAGCTCCGAATTAGCTAACGGTTCCCGAAACTATCCACCTCGGGTGGGTCTGATCAACTTTCCCAATGAAACAGACTTTTATATTTAAGGTCCCACCCTTAGGAATCCATCAAAACGTCATTTAAATGACGAAAGTTCCATTTTAAAACCCGGTTAGACTCTTGGTCTGAGGAAGACCCATGGGAAGACCTTAAAAACAAACAGATGCCGCATTCAGTGTGCCTCAGACACAAGAACTCCGGAAACAGTTCTTCTTCTTCTTTTGGTGTTTTATTGGCGGTTGGCAAACAACAAATGGTGCATTACCGCCACCAACTAGTGTGGAATGTGGTCTGGAACAGCGCTCACAACACAAAACCAAACAGGGAAAAAAATAAAAACTCAAATTCTCCCAAACATACATCCTCATCTCTTTGAAACCCGAAATAAAATCTGAAAACAGTCACTTTTGGAATTGTGTCTCAATAAATCAACAAGATCTAGTTTCACTTTCATCTAAGATTGTGAACCATTGTCCTTCTTTCCGCCTGATATTTCTGACATTGTAATATAACATGAACTATAGTTTCTTCTTCTCCACAATAATCACATTTCCCTGTATTATGTCTCCCTATCATGAATAATGTATTGTTTAACCCAGTATGTCCAAACCTCAGTCTAGCAGTGATCACCTCCTCTCTCCTACTCCTTCCGGTGTTTCTCATTTCTCCTACTCTTCTTTGAATTTTAACAACCATCTTCCCCTCCTTTCCTCCTCCCATTGTTTTTGCCATTTTTCTTCATTTCTTGCCTTATTATGCTCTTGATCTCTTTTTGACAAAATAGAATATCTAACTGAACCAATGCATTTATTGTTGCTTCCTTAGCCATCGTATCGACTCCTTCATTTCCACTGATTCCACAATGAGCTGGAATCCATAAAAATGTATTTTAAGTCCCATCATGCTTATTCCATAGTGTTAGCTGGATCTCTATGAGTATGTCTGGTCTGCTTTCTGAATGGCTGCACTGTAAACTGGTTAATGATGAGCTGGAGTCTGAACAAACAACTGAGAATTATGGTCTGTTTTCTTCCACCCATTGAACAGCTAACAGTATAGCGAGCATTTCACCTGTGTATAGTGATAATCCATCACTCACCCTCTTTTTTGACTTTAACATGAAACCCAGGAACAATAAAAGCTACACCAATATGATCTGCAGTTTTCTTTGATGCATCTGTATTTTTACAAAGTTATAACAGTGATCAATATAATCCTGTGCTGTATGTGAGTTTAGTATGAATGACCCATCCTTATTCTTTCTCTCTAATAAAGTTAAATCAACAGATGCCTCAGGAAGAATCCATGGTGGAACAGCAGGTAATGGAACTCTTTGACCGATTTTAAACTGATCTAATTTAAGTTCTACTGGTTTTTTGATCATCATTCATCCAAAACTTTTTGTTTTCTTCTTTTCTTTCTTCCGGAAACAGTTTGAAATCTGGTCCACCCATAATGAACAGAAAAACAGTAAAATATTGCTGACTGAAACCATTTACAGCAAAACACTATTTAATTACCATAGAAACACCACAAAGTGTTCTATATTCATTATTCACTTAAGCGCTTTGGGGTCCTCTGACTCAGGGTGCAGCCTGGCCGGTCACCCCCATGCTTCCACACTGGTTAAGCGTAGTTCTCTGTGTCGAGTTAAACAGCGGACGAGTCTGGCAGGTCAGGCTAATTCAAGTGCGATTATTTATCATTTATAAAGCACCCTGCCAAATAATACAAAATGTTAGTTAGTTAGTTAATTAGTTAGTTGTAGTCTACAGAACGCACACAGGGGTATTTATTATTACAATCGGGTTATTTTACAGTTTCATATTTAACTTTTAATTTAAAATAACTTTTTAGATTTTAATCGACAAATTTATTAAGGCCTTTTACAGCTGTTCAGACTCTTAAAGATCAGACATTTTAAAAACAATTCTTTAACATGAAGATTTGGAGTAAAATATGTTTAGTTTGTGGTGAAACCTGGTTCGTTGGTCCACTAGAGGTCACTGTCTGCAAAGCTTTCATCTGGGATCAGCTCTGCTTCCTGTAAATCTGGTTTTTATCAGCACATTTTATCACTTTCATACTGTGTTACTATAATTATACACACACACACACACACACACACACACACACACACACACACACACACACACACACACACACACACACACACACACACACAAGACAATAGACAGACATACAGATAAGAGGACAGCTTACACAACACATATCTCACTCAATGATTAACGTTTCCTAATTTGATTAGATTTTTTAAATAACCTTTTTAAAACACAAAAATAATAGTTCAAGTTATGTCAACTTAGTAGAAATAATGCATAAAATTGATTTACACGTTACAATAACTTGATATATTTAATTAAAGTTCACTCAAACTAATTTTCTAACAGTTTGAGTTAATAAACGTTAATGACGTAAGGCAGTCGGGTTCCTCAGGTCCTTTGAGCTGAACTGGCGCCTGTGCTCAGCAGCCTCGCCTCCATCCAGGACAGCTGTGGCCATGATGTAGCTCATCACCACAAGGGAGTGAGTTTGATTGTGAACAGGTGACTGACCGATTGTGTTGTAAAGTGCCTTGGGGGGGTGTTCTAGGATTTTAGAAGATGTTGTATCAAATACAACTCATGCAAGTCATATTATTACTGTTAAATGGTAAATGGCGGGGGGCTGCACAGTGGTGCAGTGGCAGCAAGGTGGTCCCGGGTTCGCATGCCAGCCTGGGGTCACCCTGCATGGAGTTTGCATGTTCTCCCTGTGCGTGCGTGGGTTCTCTCCGGGTGCTCCGGCTTCCTCCCACAGTCCAAAAACATGTCTGTCAGGTTGATTGGTCTCTCTAAATAGTCCTTAGGTGTGTGTGGGTGTGTGTGTGCTTGGTTGTTTGTCCTGTGTGTCTCTGTTGTCCTGCGATGGACAGGTAACCTGTCCAGGGTGTACCCTGTCTGCATACCCGGAGACTGCTGGAGATAGGCACCAGCCCCCCAAGACCCTACGTAGATAAGCGGTGCAAAAAATGGATGGATGGTAAATGGCAGGAATCCCACATGCCAGGGTACCGCTGTGAAATGTGGGTCACGCGTGAGTACCACAGTAATGAGTAAGTCAGGCCAAAGGGGGCAGTGCTCACATGCGGGCCAAGTCCTGTTGGACCCCAATGATGGGGTCTGCATTTGCTCTACTTTTTACAACGGCTTGGGTCCCATTATTGTCAGCGACCTTTACGGGTTCCTAAAGACCCCCCCCCCCCCCCCCCCTCGCCAGGCTCCACTGGGCTCCGCTGGAAGCCTCGGGGTGACTCCTACCCTGCTGAGAGCCTCCCTGAGCTCTAACACTAAACTGCTGAACACCTCGGCTCCAGGCTGCAGCCTCACAGGAGCCGCATCCATAAACAAGCTCCTGATTAAAGGTGCTGACAGAAAGATTCCCAACAGTTTCAGACCCACGGGCTTTAAAATGAGTTTAATTCCACATCAGGAATTCAGAGTCCATCCTTTCCTTCAGCTGATGGTTGGTGCTATCTGTCCTCTGATTGAGACAGAAACAAGGGGGACAGGTTGTGTCCCTCCGTCTTTACTCTGAGGACTCAGTGAGACTCACTGGGATCAGCTGGTTGATTTATTTGGCTGTTGATTACAGTTTAATTAAAATGTGAACTCTTCATTTTTTTTTACTAATTATTTACAATTTAATGTGTTAACCTCGTCAATTATGGCTTTAAGGGCTAACGTGAACCACATCATTATTATTATCCTCATTATTATTGATAATCTGACAAATCAGCTAAAAACCCAGAGACAGACCTGACCAGTCTCCTCCTCCTGTCTCCTCCTCCTGTCTCCTCCCCTGTCTCCTCCTCCTGTCTCCTCCTACCAGTGTCGGGAGGAGTCCACTTCAGACACATTTAAACCTTTGCAGACTTCTGAGTCTGCAGGACCTCCAGAGTCCATCTGCAGCTCCTAACTACTGGACCAGGAGTGAGAGCAGCTAGCTGGTTCTGATGATCCAGAGCAGAAGAATTTTGAACATTTCTGTTGGACTCGGAGGCAGAAGCAGGATTTAGTGAATCAGATCCAGGATCAGCAGAGGTGAGTTAAAGATGGTTCGTTTAACTCGCAAGAAAGCAAAAAGGTTCTCCTTCAAATGTGGATTTATTCTCTTTAATTCATTTATTCATTCAATCTTTTATCTGTTGAATTTAGCGTTCATTTTCATGTAAACAAAAACCCCAATCAACCAAAAGTAGATCACTTAAAGGTAACCTGACATTTGTTTTATTACAAAAACAGAACAGAAACCTTTGTTTTAAATGTTTTTGTTCAAATGTGATCAGTTTTTGAGGAACCAGCATCTGTGTTATTAAATGATTGTTTTATTTGATATAATTGATCATAAACCAATAATCAACAAGGTAATATAAATAAAATAATAATAATGCCAATAATAACAGCTGGAATCTGACATCCTTTTCTTTGGAACGTTTTCCTCAGCTTGATGCTGGTTGGTGATCAAAGTAATCTGATTACAGGACTTTATTTATGTTTAAGTCAAGTTTACTTCTAAAGCATTTAGAAAACAACATGGCAGCTGACCAAGGTGATGAACAATTAATGTACGTAAAACACAACAGCATTAATACAGACATCGTTAATACAGACATCATTAATACAGACATCATTAATACAGACAGCATTAATACAGACATCATTAATACAGACATCATTAATAAAGACAGCATTCATACAGACATCATTAATACAGACATCATTAATAAAGACATCATTAATAAAGACATCATTAATACAGACATCATTAATAAAGGCATCATCAATAAAGACAGCATTAATAAAGACAGCATTAATAAAGGCATCATTAATAAAGACAGCATTAATAAAGACAGCATTAATAAAGGCATCATTAATAAAGACATCATTAATAAAGACATCCTTAATACAGACATCCTTAATACAGACATCATTAATAAAGACATCATTAATACAGACATCATTAATAAAGGCATCATTAATAAAGACAGCATTAATAAAGACAGCATTAATAAAGACAGCATTAATAGAGACAGCATTAATAGAGACAGCATTAATAAAGACTGCATTAATAAAGACATCATTAATAATATATCATAAGATATCATCAATAAGATATCATTAATAAAGACAGCATTAATAAGACAGCATTAATAAGAAAGCATTAATAAGATATCATCATTAAGACATCATTAATAAAAACATCATTAACAAGACAGCATTAATAAGACAGCATTAATAAAGACATAATTAATAAGACAGCATTAATAAGATACCATTAATAAAGACAGAATTAACAAAGACATCATTAATAAAGACAGCATTAATAGACAGCATTAATAAAGACAGCATTAATAAAGACATTATTAATAAAGACATCATTAACAAAGACATCATTAACAAAGACAGAATTAATAAAGACAGAATTAATAGACAGCATTAATAAAGACATTATTAATAAAGACATCATTAACAAAGACATAGTTAACAAAGACAGAATTAATAAAGACAGAATTAATAGACAGCATTAATAAAGACATCATTAACAAAGACAGAATTAACAAAGACAGAATTAATAAAGACATAATTAATAGACAGCATTAATAAAGACATCATTAACAAAGACAGAATTAACAAAGGCAGAATTAATAAAGACATCATTAACAAAGACAGAATTAGTAAAGACAGAATTAATAAAGACGGCATTAATAAAATACAAAAACCAGATTAAAAAAAGACCAAGGAATACAATTAAAGAGCAAGTCACCCCCTTCAAATGCTGGTGCTAACGAACACACACACACACACACACACACACACACACACGTGCGCACGTGTACACACACACGCTTTTATGGGGCAGCAGTAGCTCAACAGGTTGAGCGGGTTGTCCAGTAATCGGAAGGTTGCAGGTTAGATCCCGGTTCCGGACAGAGAATTCTGCTGTTGTGTCCTTGGGCAAGACACTTAACCCACATTGCCTGCTGGTGGTGGTCGGAGGGACCGGTGGCGCCTGTGCTCGGCAGCCTCGCCTCTGTCAGTGCGCCCCAGGGCAGCTGTGGCTACATCGTAGCTCATCACCATCAGTGTGTGAATGAGACAGATGTAACAGATGTTGCAAACTCTCCTGTCTCCATGGTAACAGTAACACAAAGCATCTTAGCAGTTTTAGTTTTAATTTTGCTGGTCTAATCAGAAAAAGTATATTTATTGAAGATCAGAGAAAAATTGACCCCAGAAGGCATTCATGTGGACAGGAGGACAGGTCTGGCTCAGATGTGGACAGGACGACAGATCTGGGTCACATGGGGACCAGAGGACAGATCTGGATCACACATGGACAGGAAGACAGATCAGGGTCATATTTGAACAAGAGGACAGATCTGGGTCACATGTGGACTAGAGGACAGATCTGATTCACACATGGACAGGAAGATAGATCAGGGTCATATTTGAACAGGAGGACAGATCTGGGTCACATGTGGACCAAAGGACAGATCTCGATCACACATGAACAAGAAGACAGACCAGGGTCATATTTGAACAAGATGACAGATCTGGGTCACATGTGGACAATAGGACAGATCTGGGTCACATGTGGACAAGAGGACATATCTGATTCACACATGGACAGGAAGACAGACCAGGGTCATATTTGAACAAGATGACAGATCTGGGTCACATGTGGACAATAGGACAGATCTGGGTCACATGTGGACTGGAGGACAGATCTGATTCACACATGGACAGGAAGACAGATCAGGGTCATATTTGAACAGGAGGACAGATCTGGGTCACTTCAAGACAGGATGATAGATCTGGGTCACATGTGGACTGGAGGACAGATTTTGGTCAAACATGGACATGAAGACAGATCAGGGTCATATTTGAACAAGAGGACTGATCTGGGTCACATGTGGACAAGAGGACCGATCTGATTCACACATGGACAGGAAAACAGATCAGGGTCATATTTGAACAAGAGGACAGATCTGATTCACAGATGGACAGGAAGACAGACCAGGGTTATATTTGAACAGAAGGACAAATCTGGGTCACTTCTGGACAGGAGGACAGATCTGGGTCAAATGTGGACCAAAGGACAGATCTCGATCACACATGGACAGGAAGACAGATCAGGGTCATATTTGAACAAGAGGACAGATCTGGGTCACATGTGGACAAGAGGACAGATCTGGGTCACATGTGGACAAGAGGACATATCTGATTCACACAGGAAGACAGATCAGGGTCATATTTGAACAAGAGGACAGATCTGATTCACACAAGGACAGGTAGACAGATCAGGGTCATATTTGAACAAGAGGATAGATCTGGGTCACATGTGGACAGGACAGATCTGAGACCTGTTTTGTGGTCATTTTTTTTATCAGAACTTTTATCATCCACAGAAACTTAAATAACAAATAAAAAAACAAAGTCCGTTTTCTGTCCTAGGAGTTCTCATCTAGGCTTTTTTCTAGGACCAGGTCTCAGAGGCAGGAAGTTTCTCTCTCCAGCTCTCCCAGTGGGACCAAGGTGTTCCCAAACAGATCAGCTGGTGTGTGTGGTTCTGCTGGTGAGCCAGTGTTTCTGATCAGAACCATCCTGCTGCAGAGGACCAGCTGCTGCTCTTGGGAAGATGGGCTGGATGACATTGTGTTGCTGCTGGTTTGGAAAACGATCCGTATCCCTGCAGTTATTCTGTGTTGTTGTTGGAGTTAATTATAAATCAGGTCGGAGAGCCGCTGACTCATCGCCACGCTGTGGTCAGACTCCGTATGAATCCCAGCTGTGTGTGAGCTCTGCTCAGTCCACACGTGGAAAAGTAAGAGCAGCCGAGGAGGAGAGAAGGTTCAGCAGCTGTGTGGCTTCAGGTTCTGGTTCCGACTCCTCCTGGGACAAATTATCAGGTTAAAGCCAGAATTCCTTGTAAGTCTGGAAAAGTGTGTGTGGTTAGTTTACAGCAGACAGAAAAGTGTTTGTTGTGCTGCTGGAACTTTCTGTTTTACATTCCTGACACCTCCCCAACACACACACACACACACACACACACACACACACACACACACGCACGCACGCACGCACGCACGCACGCTCGCACACACGCACGCACGCACGCTCGCACACACACACACTCACACACACACACACACACACACACACACACACACACGCGCATGCACGCACGCACGCACACACACACACACACACACACACACACACACACACACACACACACACACACACACACACACACACACACACACACACACAAACAGGGATGTTTACATCTCAGATCTGCTGTGATTTGTGAGTTCGCTCACATCAAGAGCTTCATCTACCAAAGCAACTTCAGAAACCATTGAAGAGTCCAGTTGGACCGGACCAGGGTCACCAGGACCTGTAGAACCTTCTCCAACATCAGACAGTATTTGTCTGACTGGAAGAGGTTCTGGTGGTCGGTGATCTTCTCTGAGGTTTATTAAGGTTGTTGTCAGATCTGCTTGAGTGGCTCTTCTGTGTCATCTCCAGGCTTTGATGGTAAACAGTAGGGGCGAGGCCCCCGCCTTGGCCGTGATGGGTGGCGGCAGCAGTCCAGCGACGGGCAGGTCGTGTGCCGGATGTGGAGGACGAATCGCCGACCGCTTCCTGCTCTTCTCCATGGAGCGGTACTGGCACACCCGCTGCCTGAAGTGTTCGTGTTGTCACACTCAGCTGGGAGAATACAGCAGCAGCTGCTACAGCAAAGGAGGCATGATCCTCTGTAAGAACGACTACATCAGGTGTGTCCCGGGTCCCATGGTGCTCCTCTTTTAGGCTCCATGGGTTCAGTGAGGGTTCTGATGTGACGTCAGGTGGTAACGGAGGCTTGTTCTTGATGCTGCTGCTGTTTCTGCCGTCCTGAGCCTGCAGGAGCAGAATCCGTTTCTACATTTTGGTTTAGTTTTAAAGAAATGATGAAATGCTGTTTCTGGTTTGACGGAACAGATGTTAGAACCAGCTGAGGACCTTTTTGTGTATCTTCTGGTCTCCAGATGCTGGGGCTGAACTGACAGACTCTCTGTTCTTTCAGACTCTATGGACTCAGTGGAGCTTGCAGCGCTTGTGGACAGTCCATTCCTGCCAGCGAGATGGTGATGAGAGCTCAAGGCAGCGTATATCACCTGAAGGTCACTTTGCATCTTCTGATCTTCAATTTTTTCCAGCTGGCAGCAGATACTAATGTCTTTCTCTTGTTTCTTCAGTGTTTCACATGCTCCACCTGCAGGAACCGTCTAGTTCCCGGCGACCGTTTCCACTACATCAACGGGACGATCTTCTGTGAACACGATCGTCCTGGAGGAGGTCTCCTAGGTGGACACGCCACTCCTCTGCAGACCAGCAGCATGATGTCGGACCAGAAGGTGGGTCACCGATGGATGGAAATTATGGCCTTTTTCCACCATGACCAACTCGGCTCAGCTCAACTCAGCTCTGTCCGGTTCCACCAGTAATGGATACCAGGTTTCAGTGTCTACTTTAAAGCTGGATCAAGCCGGATCAGAAATGGGGTGTGAGAGACGGTTGATCACTGATTGGCTAATGAGCGGTGACTCGCTGATTAACTCATTCGCTGCCAGCGTTTCTCACCGTTTTCACTGTTTTTTAGAGCCACAGAACGTTGCGCGCTAGGATGATGTTGACGCCAAAACAACCAAAACAAAGCGGAGACTCACCTCTTACATCAGGAAGAATCCGCGCGTTTCGAGCGTTATCCGTTCTTTCATAATCCGTTGTTGAATTGTGATCGGCAGAAGCTTTTTCGGTTCGCGCCTCACTTTTTTTACAGCAGCGGCCCAAAACGATCTCCTAACACATGGATGTTCTGCTTCCTGATCACGTGACGTGTGACGTCTGCGGATGAAGATCGGCTTTAGAGCTGAGATGTTCTCACGGTGTGGGGACTCGTCCGACGCCCACACAGTAAAAACATGCGAATGACGACGTCATTGGCAGTGAACGGTTGGATTTAAAATGACGACTTTAGTCGTCGATGGCAGTGAATGAGTTAAAGTTAGATTAGAGATTCATACACTGGTGTGGTGAAAACTGCCCTCCGCGTTTGACCCTTACCCGTGGGGAGCTGCAGACACGGCTGCGCTCGGGAACTGTTTGGTTAATAGGCGAGAGGGTGGAGTCACTGGTTACTCCAGAGCCTGCTACCTTGCTACTTTTACAGGGTTGCCAAATAGTGACTCATTGTGTACTTCTAACAACTTTTCAACAAAAGCGCCAGCAACATTCCTAAGGTCCTTAGAACATTCTCATTGATATTACCTGCAGATTTGCAGCCTGCTCTCCAGACCATCCTTCCATAGGTTAAAGAGAAAGATCTGCACGTGTATGCAGCATGATCACATTACATTGACTAACCATCACAAACCTTTCTCTGTCATACATATATGCATATATATATATATATATATATATATATATATATATATATATATATATATATATATATATATATATATATATATATATGCATACATATACTGGGCAGAAAACCCTCAAGCTCCCAGCCCTCAGGTAAAGAACCCGAGCTTGGAAGGATGAGACCACCCACAGAGGGTTGGATGGGAATTATTATTATTTTTATTTTAAATAATTAACAACAAAATGTTTTCCGTATAAGATATTAAGAAGAAAATGAACGCCAGCGCAAAGTTACATAATGACATCATCAGTATGCAAATTAGCATTTGACATCATCGAGCAACATCTAGCTACTTTCTGGTCAGGGTTAGAGGCAGCTGTAAATTTCTTGTATTTTCCAGGTTTTCGCAGTCATTCCCTTTACCTGTTGGACTTGAACTTGAAGGCATGTTAGAGTCCATGGGTTCTGGATCTGGTCTGTAACCAGGTCTCCTCGCTGTTCCCAGGTCTGCTGAAGATGAGGATGGAAAACCAGATGTGCCTTCTTCCTCGTCTTTGTTTGGGCTTGCTCCTCTGACGTTCTGCTCTTGGTTCAGACTGACTTCAGCTCAGAAGGGTTTGAGGAATTAAACTTGAACATCATGGAAATATTCTTCCTACTGCTGAAGAAGGAAAACTCTCCTTGAAGTTTGACTGATTCCAGCGGAAGTATCCAGCTCACAGAGAAGGAACCAAACAGCTGTGAGAAGACTCCCTTTTGGCTTCCAGGACAAAAAAACCACATGATTGGAGCGACCAGAAGGGAGAGGATGTCAACTAAACCTCAGAAGCTCTGAGTCCATCTCATGGTCCAATAGAACCTCCTCCTAACACAGCAAGAACCTCTGTTGGACCTCATCAGTTTTACGAGGTTCTGGAGGAGTTCTGGTCCACAGACATTTGCCTCTCTGGAGGTCCCACTTGGTTCTGGTGTGGATCTGCTGCTGTGTTTGGATCAGGTTTCTGTTCTGTGACCTGGTTTCCTTCAGACAAATGAGCCCACATCAGACTCCAGAACTCTTTAGGTATCCAGAGGAGTTCCTGGTGGGCACAGAACCAGCCCAAACCATCAACCCTCCACCACCGTGCTGACAGCCGGGATCAGCTGTTGGTGCTGCAGTGCATTATGGGAAAACATCCCCTCTCTGTGGTCGGTTTAGATGATGTTTTACCAGCCTGATCTGAGCGGCCATGTTGGTTTTTCTCCTTAAATCCTTCCCACTAATCTGTGTTTTGTTTTTTACCATTTATATCGTGACCTTTGACCTTCTAACTGAGGGCTGTAGAGGTCAGAGGTGGAGCTCAGAGCTTCTCAACATTTTTTTGATAGTTTTCATGTTTTTGGATCACATGATGTCACATCATTCACCGTTTGAAAGGAAGTGGTTGTTTCTTTGACCTTTGACCTGAACAGAAAAATGATCTGGAAGTCTGGTTTTATAATCATATTTACTTCACTGTGGGAGGAACACAAAGCTACAGCGTCTGGTTTAGGACACCCTCAGGTATCGGCAAACACCTTCAGAGTTCTGACCAATCAGCTGCTAGATGAGTCAGTTGGATCCAAAGTCTGAGGCCTGGAATGTCCTAACATGACCACCGTACACAGCAGAGCAAGTTTCTTCCTTCCTAAAAACCTGGATGAGGATGTATTTTATTTCTTTGTTCCAGATGTTTCTTAGTGTTTAAGTTATTGACATGATGCAGACTCTAGAGGTTTGTCCTTAAAGTCACACACTTCTGGATCTTCTGGCTGTTATTAAAGTTTGTGATTCTCTGTTTATCTGTCTTTTCTCTGATCTCCGAACCTTTTATAACAATAATAACGTTGTTGTAAGGGGGGGTGAAGGCTCCATCAGCTCCAGACTGAAGGGCGACGCTGGCGTTTCTCAGACAAACATGGCTGATTACCCACAGGACCGCGGCTCCAGAGACCTGATCCGAGCCCCTTCCAGAACCAATTAAAGTGGGATGCGCTGGAGGCTGACGCCGGCTTCAGGAGCTCTCCGGTGTTTCAGCCTAATGAGATCTAATCTGGTTTAATTAAAAGGGAAGACATGCTGGAGCCAGTTAGTTCAACCTGAAACAGGTGAACTCTTCGTTTTCATCATTAAAACGTTGATCTTCTCACGTCTAAACTGCTCCGACCAGGTTTCAGCACAAAGAATCAGTAAAAAGAGCACCAGGGCAGGAAACTGGAAACAGCTGATGTTTACACATCCATGTATCTGGGCCCTCCTTACCTCAGCTGGCTGGACTGCTGTGTACACCATCTACATCCGCTGGAGCACCACCACCACTGGCCAGATGGATGGATCATCATCTGCACTGGCTGGACCACCTCCTCAAAGCCCCCACCTACTTCCACGGCTGGCAGGGTACCGAACTGGGACTAAAAGCTCTTACAGAAATCCAGCCATTAGAACTGTAGACACTTAAAATGATTCCAAACATTGAACCAGATAATAAGGGATCCTCGCCATAGAAAAGGATTACTTGGAGATCATTTAAATGTACACAGTCTGGCTCTAAAAGGGAACAAACGGAACATTTACTAATTCATTCTAACGTTGATTTTATGTGTATATCTGAAACATGGTTACCACCCTCAAGCTGTTATCATGATGCCTGCTTACAACGTCTTTAGTAAAGATGGTCTAGCAAGGAAAGGAGGGGGTGTTCTTTTATATGTTAAACAAAACCTACAATGAAAAGAAATCAAACTACCTATAGAGATTCAGTTGGAATGGCGCGGTATCCAAGAATAACAAATCCAACCAGAGTTACTTTACATAGTTCAACAATAATTGATAATTTACTAACCTTTTTACTGAAAACATTACCAGAGGAGTCCTGCTTATGGATATCAGGGATCTTTTACCAATTTAAATTTTTTTTTGAGTGCAAAACAAAAATAATATATAGGGATAATTCAAATGTAATGCATCATAAAATATTATTAACCACTGAATCTAAAAATGCCGTGAAACAAAGCCTAGAATCCCAAACGTGGGAGAGGGTTTTGCTGGAAACTGATGTAAATCGGGCAGATAATACCTGTGTTATTGTCTCTTCTGGAGTTCTTCATCAACATGAACTACCCAATCAAAAATAGCCAAGTAAAATAAATTTAAAAAAAAATGGAAATCCATGGTTGACCAATGGTTTAATTATTGCACGTAAAACAAAAAATACCATAAATAAAAGTTAATTAAGAACAGAACAAATGAGAGAAAAAATGTATGAGAAATATAAAAATTAAATTACAAACAAAATAAGGAAATGTAAAAAAAGACTTTCACAGAAAGAGAAATAAATGGCTTCTGGAAAGTGCTGAATGAAATAATTAATGGAAAACCAAGAATAGATATGATACAGAAGTATTTTTATAAAAGTTGTAACGTTCCAAATGAGTCAATTTTCACCTGTATATTCACCTATAGATCCACATAATAACCTTTCATGTACAGAAATAATCCACTTTCTATTTGGTCTTCCAAGCCCAGAAGGTTCTGCTCAGTGCTTGTTGACATACGAAACTGTTAAGGTCTCCGGCACTCTGCATGAAAGCCAGACGTCCACATTCTTCCCTCTGAACCAGTGAAGACTCCACGACTTTACAACTCATAAGTTAAATAATCGTGATGAATCAACAAGATGTTTAAATGAAATGTTTGAATAATCTGTGCTTAAACCAATGAATTTAAAATGAATATTGTTCTTACAACGATCCATTCATATCACACATCAGTATGTGTTGATTTAACAAGTTAATCATTGTTTACACTCACACACATTACAATAAGATACATGTTAAGGTTAAAATCATTTTGTATCTAGAGAAGGCGTGGCTTTCTGAGGGATGTTTTGGTAAAACTTCCAGACATGACACATTCTAATTTGCCAGAATACGCTAGAAATTATATATAATGAGTTTATTAAAACAGGATTTACTTCCCGATTAATTCAGTTTCCAGTTGACTCCCGATTCGGTCAAATCGGGAAAGAAGCCTCTTTTGAAACAAACTCCTTTGACCTTAAGTCAAAAACCTTTCTGCGACGCTGCAAGTGATTACTGACACAACAGCTCTTTTCAGAGCTACTTATACTCAAACATCCACCTTGGACACCTAACCTGCAGACCCCGGGTTGCATCTCATGGCCGGGGAAGCTGAACTCAGAGGAAGCTACTAATCTCTGAGTATCGTGGTTTCTACATCCGGTGACCTCACCACTCTGACCGCAACCCTCCGGACCGCCGGGAGCAACTCATACCAGGGTATCGCAGACCTGCATACTGGAGTCTGATGAGATTTATAAACAACTTTCTAGTTTATAACAAACAACAAATAATTTTACACCCAGATTTCACAATTTCTCTCAGATACAAAGAACGGTTGCTACAACATGTAGCTTCCATCACACCACCTCACATCCACCACACCACACTCATTATTCATATCTGTCATGTATAAATTATTAGTTTAGGAAAAATAATTAAATTCATTTTATAAACTACATACTGACTCAGTCTGCATTAATACGAAGTGTGTTTATGATCCCTGAAGAAGCAAAGAACCCGAGAATTTTCTGATTAAACATTCAAAGATCAATCAGGTTGATATTTCATATTTATATGGAATCATCACATCTTATTGGTCATAATTAACAAATGTATTCCACTACAAAATAAAACTTTGGAAAATATGCAGGAAGTAGTGGAAAGCTTCAATCAAGACTTTGTAGAAATTGGTCCAGAACTAGCTGAGTAATCTCATGAAATGGTACGAGAACAATTTCAAGTTCATGGAAATGGAAACATTAGTTCTTTCTTCTTGAGCCCTGTGGAGGAAATAGAGATTTTACAGGTAGTAAGATGTTTTAACAGTAAAACAAAAATCACTTGATTGTACTAGCTTGGATATGAGTCTAATTAAGACTGTAATTAATGAAATAATTATACCTTTGAAGCATATTTGTAATTTGTCATTCTCCACAGCAACATTCCCTTGTGAAATGGACAAAGCTAAAGGTATTCCAATATTTAAAAATGGAGATGGACATTTACTTGGTAACGAGACCATTCTCACTTCTGTCACAGGTCTCTAACGTTTCGGAGAAATTTTTTGCAGTCCGTTTAAATAATTATATTGAAAATAACAATTTGGTCCATGAAAGTCAATACAGATTTAGAGAGAGAATCGTTCTACTTTCCTAGCCCTGTTGGATCTTGTAGAGATGGTAATCAATATGCATAGAGAAAACAAAACCCAACAGCCATATTTATAGATCTAACTAAAGCCTTGAATCGATCATAACATTTTAATAAAAAAGTTAGAAAAACTGATATAAGAGGTTGGCCATTACGGTGGTTGAAATCTTATCTATTTAACAGTTTGTACAAGTGAATGAATATGTCATCTTTTTATCTCCTGTGGAGTCCCTCAAGGATCAGTGTTGGGATGATCCTGTTTTTACTTCCTATCATGATCTATGTCAAGTTTCAACTAAATTTAAATTGGTCCAGTATGCAGATGACACAATTCTTTTTACGGAACAAATTTGAAACAAGTGCTTCTTAATATATAACAGCAGAAATGAATAAACTACAAGATTGGTTTTATTGCAATGAATTATCGTTAAATTAGAAAAAACAAAATTAATGATGTTTGCTAATAGGTCAACTGATGTAGGGTTGAAAATAGTAATAAATAGTGAGATGATTGAACGTGTTGATAAATTTAACTTTCTGGGTATTACTATTGATCACAAGCCACATATAGCTTACGTTAAAAATAGAATTGCTAAATGTTTTACAGTAATGGGGGAGTCTAAGTACCTGCTGAATGAAAAGGCTTTTAGGTCTGTCTATTGTACATTATTTCTGTAATATAATAATAATAATAATAATACATTTTATTTGAGGGCGCCTTTCTCAAACCCAAGGTCACCTTACAAAGATAAAAACAAAAAACAACAGAGGTTAGATAGGGCAATAAGAACAAACAAGATACATAAAAATTTGAAACAATTCTAAAGTCTAGGTCTAAAGGGAATAAACTTGTTTGAATAAGTGGGTTTTGAGGTGTGCCTTGAATAATGGAAAAGAGTCCGTATTTCTAATGGCAGAGGGAAGTGAGTTCCAGAGCCGTGGAGCAGAGCAACTGAAAGCTCTGCTCCCCATGGTGGTAAGGCGAGCTCGAGGTTGAACCAGATGAAGTGCAGATGAGGATCTTACCCCCAAATTCCACTACCTCCGCTCCGCTCCGACACGAACGCCGGAGCAAAATCGGTCCCATTGTGGTCAATCAGAGCAATTCCACTACTGCGGCCGTGCTCCGGCAGTGCGGCGCCGTGCGCCGCCCTCTGTTCCGGCGTCCGGCAAAAATAGAATCGATCCTATTTTCGCCGGACGCCGGAGCACCTCCGCAGTAAATGGACAGAAATCACAACCGCCCAACAGGAAAAGGAGCAAGCACAACTTCCGTTTTTCACAATAAATCGATAAACAAAAGGCGTTTTTTGTTTCATATGCACAGGTTTAACAACTTTTAACAACTATCAATGGCGGCTGAACTTTAAATGCACAAAAATAAGCCATAAATACAGTTTCCACTATCAAAGTAGTCACACTTTGTTGATCCAAACACTGCTGATCTCTCAACACAAATGATGGTCAGATTAAACAGTTCATGCCGATGCTTCTCCCACACAACGGGTGTTTGGATCTAACTTCCGCGTTTATTGCTCGGACTGTATCGCAAGATCTCGAAAATCCCG